AGTATTCTATTTTTTGTTGTGATTGTAATTTGTTATGATAGATTGTATTTGTATATATTGTAAAATTTATATTATAGATTGTAAAGGAGTTCATGATAAGATTCTGTGATATTCTAGAAGTCCTGCTGGTAATATATTCAATGCAAATTTACCTTGAGGATATTTTTCTGGCAAAAAAAACAAAAGAAACTTTTATTTATTAAACAAAACAAGAACCTGGGATAAAAATAATAGAAAATGAGATAAAATTTCTTTTCGGAATAAACATAACTTTGTTTTTTATCTAATCAAAATTTCTTAGTTCAAATAAACTATTAACAAATTTGTCACGCATTATACAAATGATGGTCAAAAGGTTTAGCAATCAAAGTTTTAAAACGTAAAGAGTAAGGTTCAAATTTTTTAAATTAAAACTCGAAAATCAAATTTTAAAAGGTTTTTAAACTGGAACGCAAATTACCACCAAAAACTACAAAATTATCTAGTATATCAATAAAGTTTACAAATTTAAAATTATAAAAATATTAAAACTCGTTTGAGCTAAAACTAAGTTATTAAGATTACAGAGCCTACAAAACCACGCATGTAAAGCAGTTAACTATTTAAAGAGATTAGAAAACGCTTCGCCTGCAATGAAATACATGAATGTGTTAAATATATCAAAACTTAATTCGCTTCAAATATTAATATTTATATATAAATATAAGAATAATTTGCTGCCAAAAGTGTTATCTGATATTTTTACATTAGCATTTTCACAAAAATACAATCTTCGATCAAATAACAACCACAACAATCACTTGAGTAGAGTAAAATCGCAAGTGTCGAAATTCTCAATTATTAGCCAAGGCCCGTCGTTATGGAATCAATTAAAAAATAACAATATAAAAAAATTTGAAAAGCACTTTCTCTTTTAAACTACAAATGAAACTGCATCTCCTTAATTTTTGACATGTATGTAAATATGTTTGTATGCGTGTGTGTTTTTATGGGTATATGTATATATGAGTATGTATGTATATGAGTTATAATATGAGTTTTTCTTTAATCTTCACGTAGTATTTAACAAATAAAATATTATATTGTAAATTTTCTAAAGCCATGTGGGCTTTAAATGATATTGTAAAGGAGCTCTATGAAAAGATGGTGGTGACACCAGTCATCTTTATCTTCTTTGAGCCCGTGTCTGTTTTATATATATTCTTTGTGTAACGTAAAAGTTTCGTTGTAATTTGATTATTTTTTTTTTATATAAACAGCGAAATATATTAAAAAAAAAAAAAAAAAAAAAAACATTAAGAAATATTCTTTTAACAATTCATCATAAATTAATAAACAAATGTATATTTTAAAGAAAGCCTTTGATAACTTGTTTTTTCTGAAAAATAAATCTAATTTTAACTTCTTTTGAAAACAATTTATACTTTTGAGCTAAAAAAAAAGTTGTTTTTATTTTATTTAACACGCCTAAAAAGTGTTTTATATTTTTTTAGTTTCCGATAAGTTACGGAAATGACTCTTGTTTTGAAAATAAAAAACTCTTCCAAATCAATTAAATTATTTATCGTTTGTCATCTCTTTTTCTTTTTGTTAACCGTTTAATTTTTTGATAAATTGTTTTATGATGGAAATAAGAATTATTAAAAAACTTATTCAGTAATCAAATCAAATTGAATGAACAAATATTCAAATATAAAACAAAATCAAATAAGTGTTAATGTTATATTGATTAACGTCTAATGAATGCGAAGTGAATAACTTGACGTCACGTTGATTATTTAAAATACTTTTTTTAAAATGTTTTTTTAAGCCCTCTATAATTTTTTTTAAAAAAGAAAAAAAAAAAAACGGATGATGGCACCGGTGAGCCTTCCAGTGTCGTCGGCCCTTTTTAAGGTGTCACTCCAATGACTAGTTTTTGACTGTACAAATGACACCGAACCTAATTTTGTAAAATTATAAACAAATCTGTAATTTTTTTCAATTTTAAATAAATGGAGTTATATATATATATATATATATATATATATATATATATATATATATATATATATATATATATATATATATATATATATATATATATATATATATATATAATACATATATATATACATATATATATACATATATATATACATATATATATATATATATAAATATATATATATATATATATTTGTATATGTTTATGTATATATATATATATATATATATATATATATATACATATATATATGTATATATATATATATATATATATATATATATATATATAATATATATATATATATATATTTGTATATGTTTATGTATATATATATATACATACATTTATATATATATATATATATATATATATATATATATATATATATATATATATATATATATATATATATATATATATATATATATATATATATATATATATATATATATATATATATATATTGCGACATCGGTTAGGAAGAAGGCGTGAACTTCCGAATAAATGCTTATCCGCGGTGCTCTGTGTGTATATACAGTATTGGACAAAACATTTACAACCAACATCGAACATGTTCGATGTTGGTTGTAAATGTTTTGTCCAATACTGTATATACACACAGTTAACATTGTTAACATTGTTAACACAGTTAACATTGTTAACGATGCTAAAAAGTGTTCCTAATTTTACGTCTTAAAAACGAAACGAACTATACTACCACAGCAAACAGTTCAAGAGTCTGGAGTCATAACATGCCATGACATGAGCAATCAGCTGACAGGTGACAGCACACAGGCAGAATTTCGTTGATAAGTACCATTTTGCAGCGGACAAAACAAGTGCAACTTTTTTGGTTTGTTTCATTTTCTTAAGTCTGGTCCGTGTCAACGTCACGGAAGTTTTTTAATAAATAGAGGAAGTATTCAGAAGTTTCCAGAAACATGCAGAAGCTTCCAGAAGTTTCCAGAAAAAGCATCCGGAAGCATCCAGAAGTATCCAGAAACATTCAGAAGCATCCAGACGCATCCAGAAGCTTCTAGAAGCATCAAAAAGAAGCATATTGAATCTTCCAGAAGAGGTTCACACAGGTTCATTTTACTATACAAGAGACATGTAAACCGAAATGTAATTCGGTCAGTATATGAAAGTCAATCAGTCAGTATTATCAAGACAGTTTATCGAAGTGAGTTTTATCAAAGTGTTCTATCGAAGAACATCAATACAAGAAGTGAAAGACAAGAAGTGTTTCACTAAAAATTACTAAGTACTGTGTAGTGGGATCTTTACGTCGTTGATGGCAACAAAGAAAAACAAAATATTAGCTAATTCACCGGTGTCAAAATAGATAAGAGGAGTTTTTTTTTTGTCCCTGCATTTTGAAATCAATTATTTCGTTTATTTAACTAGTTTTTACCATTATATGTAAAAATAAGGAGTTTTTCGTTTAGGCAAAGATTGAAAATTTTTGTCTCACAATTTTCCACTTAATTGAGAGTGAAAACATTTCTCTCTCACATAACTGGTTAATTATAACGGTTTTCTTCATTTTTTGCTAAACCACCGGTAATACATCATCATATAAAGCTTGCATTTCGCTATCTTTTTTGTCATCGTTATCATCTCGCACATTCTTTAGTGCAGAACAACTTAATTTTTGTGATGATGTTGGTTGTTTTGCTAACTTTCTTTATTGAGACACGCTTTGCGTCAACGGGACGAAAGTAAAATTTTTCTCCAATCGTATAATTTGTGGTAGCCTGTTGTGGTCATTCCCGAATTTCTGTGTTCCCTTGAGCTTCTAAATGCCATATGTACCAATATTTTAAAGAAGCAGATATAAAGCCTTTTTCTGTTTCAAACGTAAGTGATAATTTATACTAAAATCCAGCTTGTGATGGGTATATTTTTACTTTTAAAAAATAACAAAAGAATGATTCAATTTTCTACTATATCAATCAATAATTCAGTTAGGTTCAGAATAAAGGTTCAAAATAAACAATGTCATTTGTAGAATGCGTTAGAAATTTGTTAATAATTTGAAAAGTTTTGAATTAATATTTAATTCAAATCTGTATCTCCGTTTCTTATTCTAACCTGGGAACAAATAAAACCTAAAAATTGTGTCCCCTCAACTCCAAATGTGAAGGGAATTAAATTACTAGTTTTATACTCAATTTAACTAAACTAATTTATACAGATTTTTTGAAAAATATAAACATGTAGAGTTTATAGCTTTCTTATTTTGAATTAGATGAAATTTAAAATAAGTTGATGATTATAACACTCGGGGTTGGGGAGAGGGATAAAATATTTTATAGTTTGTTTGTATTCAAAAGTTATAAGAATATAAATTTTCTACCCTTCCCTCAAACGAGGGGGTTGTTAATTTTACAAAGTTGTTACATTTTGTCCGTAAAGTTTATAAGATGAAATTTAAAACCTGTCTACTAATTTAAATTTAGTAACTAAATTTTGCAATTTTTTGCAAAAGCATTCTTATTAGAAAAATACACAAAAGTCCTGCGTCCGCGCCTGAACATGAAGCAATCTATCTTCGCGGTTATCTATCTTAATTACCATATAAGCTGCCACGTTCCCTAAGTGCCCCTAATCTGCCGCAATCCCTAAGTAAATTGACTTGCACAGACTGTATTATTCATTATTAATAATTTATATAATTATATTTACATAAAAACTATTGTTATTATTATTTGTTATTGTTATTAAAGTATATACGTATAAAAAAGATTTAATATGGCAAAAAGAAGAAAAAGTTATTTCTTCTCTTTGATTTTCAACTTTCTCTGATTATTTTTATCAATTAAATTAAATTTAGTATTTTTTAAATATGGGTAGACGAGAAACAAAAATAATATTTTTCTCGATCATTAAATCGTTTTTCGGTATTTTTGCCACGTGAATAACAACTTCGTTTAAAGGCTTCTCTAAAATTTATATGTGTACTTATAATATAGAGTTTTAAAAACGTGCTTGAAGTTGGTAGGAAAATAATAACTTGATAGCTGGATAAACGTCTCCGAGACAAGCATTAAACATCGAATAGTTTACATTCAAATTACAGTAGCGTAACAAAAATGTCCATGTTGACTGAGGATACAAATGGAGTTGTAGCTATTGTCGGTGTTATTGTTCTTGCAATTGCTTCATTAGTGGGTTTAGTTTTGTTTGTAAATAAAGAAGAAACTTTTGAAGACGTTGTGGCAGCTCAGAAGAAGGAACAAGAAGCTTTACTCAATTCTCTGCAAGGCGGAAAATCAGGCAAGTCACACAAGAAATGGAGTAAACTTAAATCAAAAAAAGCTAATAAGAAAGAAGGAGAGGAGCATGACGGCGATTCTGGTGTTGACGATGAAGAACCAAGCTCAGAATCTATTGCTGCCCCAAATACTCCTGTTGAACAAGAACTTCCCAAAAGTAAACATTCAATAACTTCGGTCGAACAAGCGCTTCCCAAAAGTAAACATTCATTAACTTCGGTTGAACAAGAACTTCCCAAAAGTAAACATTCAGTAACTTCGGTTGAACAAGAACTTCCCAAAAATAAACTTTCAATAGCTTCAGTTGAACAAGAACTTCCCAAAAGTAAATCTACAAAAAAAAAACCTAAAGCTAGTGATAAACCTGTAAAACAGCTCCAAGAGTCACTTGATGAAAAAAAAAAGGATAAAGTTGATGAAAAAAAAAAGTTAGAGGAGAAGAAGCCAAAATCAAAAGAAGTTTTTGTTGAAGAAATTATTAGCCAATCTGTTGTAATTCCTGATGTTGAGTATGAGGTTAATTCAGAAGAAACATTGCCACCTATATTAAATGATAAGGAAACTTTTTCTTCAGAAACTAATGTGGTTCCATTGAAAAATGAAAATATCCAGTTAAAAAAAAGTAACAAAACCAAGACTAATAAAAATCCCAACTCAAGTGTTAATAGTATAAAAGGTATATATTATTCAATCAAGTGTAAACCAATAAATTTTATGTTTTTCAATGTTTCAGAGTATATAAAGTATTTTTCAATTGTTCATATGTTATCAAGTTTTTGCTTCATATGTTATCAAATGAATAATCTGTTTTTAAATGGTGTGACATTTTTTTACAAAAAACATTTTTAGATGATAAAATAGATTAGGCAATTGCAGAAAAAGCTGCTTAAAAGTTACAACAATCACAAAAAATGTTAAAAGTTTCCAAATTTCCTTGCAGCCAAAGAATAATAATAATTAAAAAGAATAATAATAAAATAAAATAGATTGATAAATTTATAAAATAATTAGTTTGAAAAAAAAACAAAAAAAAAAAAAACTATGTGAAACTAGAACTCTATATATACAAGTTAAAAATTTAATTGTTAAAATAATTGAATCAAAAAAGTTAATTTTTGAAATAATCTAATTAAAATTGTAGCAGAAATTTTACTTTGTTTTTTGTTTTATTTTTATATAAAACAAAAAACAAAGTTTGTTAAAGTAAACATTTGATAACATTAGATAATTACATTGAGTTAATTTAGTAAATTGCTGTAGTTCAAAAATTTTAATGTCAATAATTTCAAAAGCAAATAAAAAAGAATTTTATGACATCAAAAGCTCTGTTACGCGATTGCCTTAAACAATTTTTATTTATCACAAGATCCTCATTTGTCATTTTTTTCAATGAAATTTTTCAAATCTTTATAAGTGTATTAACTTTAATGATTCTTATATAAAGTTCATTAAAAAAACTAGCATGGTCTAAAAAAGTCTTTTTTTAAAAAACAAATAACTTTTTTTTTTTAATAACATTAAAAATTCATACTATATAATTTATATAATATAAATTAAAATAAAATTATGTACATTGTTCATTGATACTTTAAACAAAAATCCTTATTTAAAAAGGTACAAATCTGACTTAGTATAAATATGATAATGACTATGAATAATAAAATCTTTATTTATGATTACAAAGTTGTTGATAATCAAAAAATACTGCCGAATAATTGTTATTTTTCATTTTTCTCAAAACATTAACAATAGCTCCTTTTTAAAAAAAGTGTTTTTCATTTATGAACTAAAAAACCTCTTAAAAACTAGTAGTTAAAATTTGTTTTGTTGTCAAAAGTTTAGAAAAACATAATTTTTACTGCAGTTACAAAATGAAAAAGTTTGCTGTTATTTTAATAAAAAGTAGCTATTTTATCAAAAATTATTTTAGCTTCCAAATTACCCAAATTTTATATTATTTACATATTTAGGTCACTTTTTTTTATAGGTATTTTTTGTTTTGTGTTGCATACATTTAATTCTAATATAAAACATGTAACATAAAATTGTTTCATTGCCATTACTTTAGATTCTGAAATAAATTCTGATAAGCTCATTAAAGTCATTGAATCACACCCTTTAAATCCATTGGAAGTTCAGCAAATAATTGATATATTATTGGCTAAGCAAAATGAGCTAGAACAGTGGAAAAAGGTATATTGTTTTACAAGTGCTTTAACATTTGTTAGTCTGCAGCAGTATTTAAAACTCAATTTATAAATGTTTTTTTTTGTATTACTCAAACTATTTAATTAGTACTACAGAAATAAAATTAAACAAAATCGCTTTACTTAGCTGTCTGAAGTTTAGCAAAATTTAGTAATTTTTTGCAAAGATCTTATTTGCTATCTGATTTATATCTTTACTTTAAAAACATTTACTTATTTTAAAAATTTGTTTTAATGCTTTTTCTTCCACATATTATAGCTATGGTTTTACTATGCAAAGACTTACATATCAATATTTTCATCTTAAATAATTGTAATTTAGCATTAAAAATGTAGATAAAAATATATTTGTAAATAACATTTTTTGATAAACATTTTAATTTATTATAACAAATTTTTTGTTTGCAGTTACAATTTTTTTATTTTATAAGTTCTTTTTTATTAAGTAATTTTGTGTACATAGAAGCATTTCGAGGAAAAAAATATTTTTATTTGAAATGTTCTGTTTTAGACCATTTGTAATTAGAATAGGAGTTTGTTTTAGAATTTAAAGGGACTACCAAGTCCCAAGACATGTTGTGTTCATATTAAAGAGAAAGTTAAAAAAAAACATCTGAGCAAATTTTTTTTGATTAAAACTAATTAATAAATGTATACCAAGAAAAACAAATCTTGTTGTCTTAGTCAAAATCGTCTTCTCTGTTTTCTGTGGTATTTTGAGTATGTAAAATAAACGCGATTTTCCAGGCGCATTATACAGACTTAATAATTTATTCAAGCGCATTTAATTCATAGGAGTTTTAGTGCATGATATCATTAGAAACATTCTAGAAATTCTTTAAAAATTTTACTATTAAATTTTACTCAAATAGCTAACTATAGTTACTTATTTTATTAAAAGTTTATTTTATTAATTGTTCGTTAGTTTTTTACAAATCTAACGAACAATTAATTAAACCAAGCACTAAAAAAAAAAAAAAAAAATTAAGAATATACTAATAAAATATATAATTTGTAATTAACTTTCAAAATTTTGACAATTTAAAAAATATATATTATAAAACATTTATTTTTGTAAACAAATGATAATAGTTTAAAAGCTTTACGGCTTTACAGATGTGGCTCCGAGAATGAGCCATAATATTAAAGTAATAGTTCATTTGATAATATATTCTTAAAAAAATTTATGCTAGATGTCTCAAAATGCAACAAATCGTAAATAATACAATTCCTAAAACATTTCAACAGAATACTCTTGAACTTTATTTCGCTTAGTCAGCGTGTTTTTTGAATCAATAGAATTAGTTTGTTCGCAAATTTGGCAGGTTTTTAGTGTTCGCAAATATTCTTTTTATTCTTCCGCAAGATGTTTTAAGAACATTCAAGTTAATTATGTTTCCATGTATGTCTGTAAAATAAAAATTAATATATATTAATTTTTTAATTTTTAAGCCCCCGCCATAATATATATTGGATGTTATAATAATGGAAATATAAATAATGAAATAAGGTCACCTCAATACCAAAAAATACATTTTTGAAAATCAGAGGAAAAATGCGTTTATAATTTTTTTTTTAATATTTACAAAGTAAATTAATAAAAGTGCATTATTATTTAGGTTAAAAATTATTTTATCTAATATTTTGAATGAAAAACTTATACAAAAGAAATCAAAATACACGTGGGCTAGACGATTATTTAAAAAAAGTTGCGCAAATAAAATACTATTTTGTTTTTTATTTTATTTTTGTTTTTAATTTTATTTTGTTTTTAATTTCGTTTTACAAACACATTTTAGAACTTTAAAATAAGATAAAAATAAATATGATTTGGAAATTGTATGTAAAAAATAACAATCGGTGTTTTAAACAAACAAAAAAAAAACTATGACGTCATGCACTAAAACTCCTATGAATTAAACGCGCTTGAATAAATGATCAAGTCTGTATAATGCGGCTGGAAAATCGCGTTTATTTTACATACTCAAAATACCACAGAAAACAGAGAAAACAAGCTTTGACTAAAACAACAAGATTTTTTTTTCTTGATATACATTTATTAATTAGTTTTAATCTAAAAAAATTTGCTCAGACGTTTTTTTTAACATTCTCTTTAATATGAACACAACATGTCTTGGGACTTGGTAGTCCCTTTAAGGGGTATGCACAGTGGGCCAGGTGTACAAAAGTAAAAAAAACACTTTCTTAAAAAATGCATTATTATATACCATTTTATAATGTAAACATTCAGCTTTTATAAAATGAATATATTTTTGTATAATTAGAATAAAAAGTTCTTTTTTTTTTTTTTTTTAAAAAAAAACAATTTTTCTAATTTTTTTTTTTAATTTGATAATATTTTTTAATAAGCATAAAGTAGTTGTTAGTTTTAAAATCTCACATTTTATTGCATAGTTTAACAAAATCAAGTATTATTTTTCAAAGATCTATTGGAACACTATTTTGTACATAAGTCAAATAAAAGGATTTTAAATGATGGGGTATTAGAAGTACTTTTTTCAGTTAAAATTTCATTTATATTGTCAAATACTTTTGTAATTCAAGGTGGCCCAGTAATTTGAGACTTAAAATTATTTGTTCAATATGTATATTATCAATATAAATTTTGTTTACAATTCGCGGATGTCTGCATGGTCTCTAATAATGATTTTTACAAGTTAAATGATGTATTCGATTTTATGCAGCAAAAACATTATATGTATTTTAATCTAAATGGTTATGTTATTATTGGGTTTCAATGAGACTAGATTAGTGTTAAAAACTTGTTTTAATAATGATGCATCTTAAATTACCTATTTATAAGATTTTGTAAATATAATTGATATTTTTATATAGTTTTATATACATAAAAAATATTGATTTTATTCATATATAATACAAGAAAACTTGTTAGCTAATTCTAGATTTTTGGATGCAGTTGTAAATGGCATGAACTTAACTGCAGTTAATAGCTTGTCTAATTTTATCAAGCATCTTTGACAAAGGTGGCATATACAGGCTTGGACAGGAATGGCGTGCGATCGAGTGCTATTGCTGACCATTCAAATGATTTTATTTCTTGACAAGTCGACACGATTGTGTATATACGTTTTGATTATTTAAACATTTCAAAAATGTGCTGAATGTAGAAACGCTAAGCTAAACTTAAACTAGGAAAAAATAACAAAAAAAAAAAATTCCCAACGAAAAAAGAAGCAAAAAAGATATTGTATAAGCACTAAAATAAAAATAAAAACTTAAACTCGAAGCGAAACTTTTTGTTACATTTTTAATTAGGTTTGAAATAAATCTTTTTAAATGTTTTATTAAAGTTACACAGAACCCTTTTAAAATTAAGTAACAAATTACTACTAATGATTGTTTAATAAATGAACAAATTTTATCAAATTTATTAAAAAGTGTTGTATTTAATATTTTTATATTGTAAACATTTATTTTTTCAAAAAAGTTGCAAAAAAAATTTGTTTAAAAAAATAACTTAGTCTTTTTAAAATAGTAATTTTTAATAATTTATGCCCTAATTAGTAAGTGTAGTTAAAAAAAAAAGGTTTCTAACTCTTTTATTCGTAAAAATAGGAAAAAATAAATAAATAAAATGCGCCTGCGATTTAAATAAAATAAACTGCCAACAAGCAATTTAATTTAATTTTTATTTGAACATTACAACTTAATAAGCGCTTCACGTAACAAGTTTAAGAATTATTATAAATGATTTTAACTCATTCATTCCTATCGTAATTGGAAAAAAAAAAAAGAAATTTTTTTCAAAAAATAAAATGTTTGTTTAAAAGATTTAAAAAAATTTTAAGTTTAATTATGAAAATTAATCTTATAAACATTACATAATACATGCTTATATAAGTAAATAAAGTTATTTTATATTCTTGTATAATTCACATTTAAAAGCTAGATATAAATATGTAAAAGCTAGTAGTTGCAAAAGGTTTTAACTTATTCATAAATTAAAGTAACTTTAAAAAAATCTAAAATTAATGTTTTAAAAGATTTTTAGGAAGACATGGGAAAATAGTTTTAAACATTTAAATTTATTATGAAAAATATATTCCAATTTAAAAAAAATTTATATAAAACATTTTTTATTCATTTACAGATGTGTTTATGTATACATCATTAAAAAAATAATTATATGGTTTTATTTTAAAGCCTTCACTTAGAATAAAACCATTGATCTTTAGAAAAGATCAATGGTTAAAAGTTATTCATAACGTAACACTTTATTGCATTTAAGTTATTAAAACATCAAAATAGCTGTGGTCAAGTTATAAAGAAAAAAAACTATTAGCGTGATCAGTTACAGAGTGAGATCGCTCACCATTCCTGTCCAAGCCTGTATTTGTGCAAAAGCTCTAAATTTGTTTTGAAAAGAATAACAAATAATGTCAACTTGTATTTGATAACAAGAATATTCAACCAACTGCTTCCAATGATAAAGATCTGATAAACTCTGCTCATATCCATCTGTAGCATCTAGCAGCCCCCTGGTGAGTTTTAATACTTCAAGTAGTCAATCAAAGAAACAAAGATTAGTTGCATCTTTTTTATCTTCAGAATTATTAGTTGCATCAGGTTGTAGTTTGCGCCAAGATGCTATAAAAGCTAAAGCTGTTATAGATTTTGAATTATCAGAACATTTGAGTTTTGGTTTAAAAAATAGTTTTCAAGTGAAACATTTGTTATTGTATACACAAAAAGGTTTAAACTTAAGGTTTTTTAAAATGTAGATATTGTAGTAGTTCATGAAATATAAAATAGAGCCCTAAGCAATAGAGAACTGCATGAGAGCCATGGTACTGCATAAAAACACCTAAAAGTAGAAATGGGTGTTTAATCTTTTAAAGACTTTAAATAATTTTATATCAGACTGCCATCAATATTAGTGTAGTTTATAACTTTGATGTTTTCAAAAACTTAAGCTAGTAATTATACAAAATGAACATTTGCCAGGCATTCCATGTGTCACTATCAACCAATTAAAAAAATCTATAGTACCACTACATTTCTAGTATAAAAAAAATCAATGTGATTATGGGAGTAATCTGATAAAATTACTACTTTTATCCATTTTATATTTATTATGGTTAATAAAATATGTGGTGGCCAAGCAATTTAGGTATCCATAGCGTCCCAAAAAAAACAACTAATGTCACCATTGAAACCACAATCCTTAAATTAGTAATCTGTGCAAAAATGGTCCTTAAATTTTTATTATATGACAAGTTATTAGTTTTATCCAGTAAATATGAATTCTGGCCCACTGTGGTTCGCTTGAATTATTATTAATATTTAATAATTTATCATTAGGCTGTTAAAAATTTTTTTTCACTATTTTAAAATTAATATTTATTTCAATTTTGAAGTTAATGTATATAGCTAATGCTAATGATACAATTCAAGTAAAAAACAAAACAATATAAGTAAATATTGTTTTTTAATAACAGACTTAATAATAAGTTTGTCATTAAAAAATTAAAATGCAAAAAACTTTATGCTTTAGTAAACAATTATGAATAAGATAATTCTAAAAAATATATAAAATTTTATTTTATATAATGGCGCACAGTTTTGAAACATTTTAAAATGTTTCTTAAATAAAATCGGGACATTGTTATAACATTGATTTTCAAGAGAAAATTCTCTGTTTTTATTTTTTCAGCCACATCAGAAGGTCGATCCAGTTGAACAATTAAGGAAAGATTTAAATGAGTGTGAATTAAAATTGACAGAAGGTAAGTTCAAATAAAATTTTTAGACTAAAGAAACTGTAAACTGTAAAAGAACTGTATTTGTATTGCATTATTAGATAATTTGTAACTTTAATGAATAATGAATGTATATGCAGTTACAAATATGTTTATTTTTTGTGATGCTTCACCCATTTATTCTTTGTTTTACTTAACCGGTAAATATTAAGTAAAACAGAGGCTACTAGAGACAATCCAAGGTTTACAAATTCTAACCATGCAGATAACTTCTACACTTCTTATCCTTTGAAAAACAATATTTTTAATTTGTCTGATTGGCTTTGTTAGTTTAATGGAAATTCTAAATTCTTAAATGGAAATTCTTAGGGTTAGATATTGCAAATCCTAATTTTTTGTGACGAAGAACTAAAATTAAAAGTTACATTTATCAATGGAATATGCTGCGATCTACTGTTTCTTAAATAAAGATTATAAAAAGTTGTTTATTACTTAGTTTCTATTTTGTGTCGTTGATAAGGAAATTGATATAAATTCTATTAAATTTATATCTAAAATTTTTTTATCCAGAAGGCTGATTATATTTGGAATTATGTCTCTCATTTTTCAAAATGTAGTTAAAAAACTTTACTATTAAACAATAGTAATACATGTCCATCTATTCTGATTGCACGTGAATTAAAGGAGACATGAGTCTCCTTCAATTCAAGAATCTCCTTCAATCCATGGAGAAATAAGTCTCCATTCAATCCATAGTAACCCATGCCCATCTATTCTGATTGCATATGGATTAAAGAAGACACAAGAGCATGCAACACTAGCTGAAGACTGTGATAATAGCTGATCGTTATAAAACTTTGTTGTTACATTTATAACTAATCTTGTCATAATATTATTAAAGTTAGTTGATGTAATTCATAACTGCTAGTCATACGCTATTTTTGTATACAAGGGTTGAATTAACGCATCCCGATTTGCGATATCTGTTAAATTATCTGGTCTTCAAAGTTTCAGTTTATGGAAAACAACGAAATTTACGGAATAGGCGAATAAACTTTAATTTGTTTGTGAAAATGTTATGAAAAACAAAACATTAAATTTATGACTACAAAAGTATTAATACTACAGTGTTGTTACTTTTATAACACTCTTTTATGTTACATTTATAGTTTATTGTTTGATCAAACAACGCATAATCAAGATATTATAAATAAAAATGATTTAGTTAAGTAATTCCAAACTTTAATTAACGTAGTAATGCATCTTGAAAAAATACAATGGATATTTAAACAATGTTAAAAACCTCAGCAACTTTTACAAATACATATTTTTATAAACAGTTTAGCATTTTTAAACATCTTACTAACGGTCCGGAAAAAGCGCGCGTTCACTTTAAAATCAACCAATAAAAAAACTGGTAATTTACTTCTTAGGAGAAATCTATATTAAAAGGGGAGGGGGGAGGAGGAGGCTATAAACTTAAATTTTGTTTTATTATTTAATCAATTAAATCATAATAAAAGTAAAGACAAAAAAATATATTTCTAAATATACTTCTTTATAACTAAAATTTATTAAATTGAACACCTCTGTTTTTAGTTTTAAGTAAATGTCAGTACTACTCTCAGTGGCGAAACTGCGGGGGAGGGGGCAGAGGGGCTTTGGTTAACAGACAAAAAGTGTCCTGATTTTAAACTAATTTTAGGTTGCATGGGCGATATGGGGCTGATTTTGAAAATCGTGTTATTTGTTTATAACAAGTCACTTGTTATAAACAAAAAACTATATCTCAAAACAAAAATTCAGTGAAAATTGGCCTTAAAATTAAAAAATATATATATTAATAACCGATAAATAATAAAACTTTCATTGTAAATCCTCCCGCTTTTTTTTATTATTTCCTCCTCCCATTTTATACATCCTAAAATTAGCTTAAAAATAGGACACTTTTTGTCTGCTACCCCCCCCCCCCCCCCCCACGGCAGTTTCGCCACTGAGAGTAGTACTGACATTTACTTAAAACTAAAAACAGAGGTGTTCAATTTAATAAATTTTAGTTATAAAGAAGTATATTTAGAAATATATTTTTTTGTCTTTACTTTTATTATGATTTAATTGATTAAATAATAAAACAAAATTTAAGTTTATAGCCTCCTCCCCTCCCCTCCCCTTTTAATATAGATTTCTCCTAAGAAGTAAATTATCAGTGTTTTCATTGGTTGATTTTAAAGTGAACGCGCGTTTTTTCCGGACCGTTAGTAAGATGTTTAAAAATGTTAAAGTGTTTATAAAAATATGTATTCGTAAAAGTTGCTAAGGTTTTTAAAATTGTTTAAATATCCATTGTATTTTTTCAAGATGCATTACTACTTTAATTAAAGTTTGGAATTACTTAACTAAATCATTTTTTTATTATAATATCTTGATTATGTGTTGTTTAATCAAACAATAAACTATAAATGTAACATAAAAGAGTGTTAAAAAAGTAAAAACACTGTAGTATTATTACTTTTGTAGTCATAAATTTATTGTTTTGTTTTTCATAACATTTTCACTAACAAATTAAAGTTTATTCGCCTATTCCGTAAATTTCGTGGTTTTCCATAAACTGAAACTTTGAAGACCAGATAATTTAACAGATATCGCAAATCGCGATGCGTTAATTCAACCCTTGGTATATAATTATGCCCTCGAGAATTTTTGTTTCTGTATAAAAAATGTAAATAGAATTTAATAAACAGTTCAAATAAAAGTAAACAAAGTTATTGTATTAACAAAGACCATCAACAGGTGAAAGTTGGATTTTAAGTTCACTAAAAAAGTGAGGTCAATTTTAACCCATTTCAACAGTCCCATATTATGGAAATATTTCAACCCATCTTTAATCTTTTTCTCCAATAAATTTATTTAACCAAAGTATGTGTTTATTTTTAATTAACCATTTTGGTAATGGAAGTTGCCATTGACAAAAAGGGATTATGTTATTTTTTGGCTGCACAAAGATTAACAACAATTATTCAATATTCAATATATTGTTATTTTATATTCAATATATTTGTTATTTTGTTCTTTTTTTAAAATTTTCTTTTGGCATTAAAATTACTAAAAATTCTTTAGAAAGAAAAATCACACAGTCAACAGTGCTAAAAAATAAAGAATTAAAGTAAGTTTTTTAAAACTTTATGATTACCAAAAAGTCCATTGTAAATATTTTTATTGTTTATTGTTCGGGCGTTTTTATTGAAACATTTTTATTGTATATTGTTTATTGAAATTATTTTTTTATTGAGTGTTTAAATTTTTTCAATTAAATATTTTTTAATTAAATTTTTTTATTGAGTGTTTTATTAAAACATTTTTATTGTATATTGTTAGGGTTTTTATTCTAAACCAAGAGTTTTCTTGCATCTTTTTTTTTAAATAGAATTGAACTACAGCAACAAAAGCAAGCAATTCAAAGTCAAGCTAATGAAAAGTTAAAACAGCAGGTTAGCTAATTTTGGCATTTTTTATTGGGTGTGTTTTGTTTTTATATTTTTCATTCTATACTATAGAACTCATTTTTTACTTATTTTGGGCGATTTCTGGTTTGGCAAAAGTTTTGTAACATAAGAAATTTGTGATACAGTGACCAAGTAGTAGTTTACTTATTTTACATTATAAGTTATTCAGCATTTTACACTATAAATTATTCAGCATTTTGAAAAAAATATCTATAGAGTTACTTTAACCAATTTTTAAAATAAAATGTTTTTAACTTTTTTTAGTAATACTAAATTGAGTTTTATTTAGATATTTTTAAACAATGTTTTATTTTTGCAACAATAAGTCTTGAATCTGTGCAGAATTTTATGATGAGTAATGTGATAAAAGTATTCATCTATCCTAAATATATTGTATATAAGCAATAGTACTTTTCATATACCTTATGAAAATAGATTTTGGATATATTTTGTTATCTTTTGTGTCTATAGAAATTAAATAACAAATATTAACTTATCACTTAAATTAAAAGCAATAGTTACAAAAGAATAAATAACAGATTTTAATTCATTAGCCGCTCAATGCAAAAAATAAAAAAAATCGAAAAAATTAAAAACTAATCGAAAACTATTGGCATCAATAAGTAAAACAATAAATGACTACAAAGTACAAAAATTGATAATACAAATGCAACTTAAATTCAGAAATAACCGTGTTTATTTCTTTAAAATCTGAAAAAACAATTTATGTCATGATAAGGACATAAATTATATCATAATAAATCTGTTAAAATTGATATTGTTGAAATTGATAAATAATAAAATTATGATTTAATTATAAAAATAAAATTAATGTTTAAAATTAATGTGTTTCTATTAATATAAATAAACTTTTTTTTATGGGACACAACTTTTAATTTAAAAGATGTCTTGTAACTAAAAGTCTTTATAAATTTTTTAGTTTAAATCTTTTATTCTTTTAACTTTTTCTAATTAAGCAATAAGAAAAAGTTTTGTTCTTATTGCTTATCCATTATCGATTAGGCAATGGAGCATGAGCTTATTCGTAAAAAGATGGAAGAAAAATATATCTCTGAAATGCAACGTATGCAGTTACAGATTAAACAGATGCAAGAATTAATTGATAGTACTTCTCAAAGTGATTACCATCAAATGAAGGAGGTATTTGATTTTTTACTTGAATCAAAAATACACTTTAAATAAATATCTATAAATAATGAAGACATCATAATTTTAAATTTTTTTACTATCAATAAGTAAGTTTTCACAATAAATAATAGTTTTTTTTATTAACAGGATCCCTAAGTGCTATAAAGATATGATCTCACAGGCCTTGCGATAAAGCGTCGGGCGATGTGAATTTTACGTCGTCCAAGGGCGATTTTGCGTGTAGCTAGGGCTATTTGCGTCGAGCAAAAAATTTTTTGTTTAAGTATATTTAAAGATATTTTTGAGCGGAATTTTAATGAAGTAATTTACGATTATTTTAACATTTAATAAAGTATTTTAAAAACCGCATGCAGTTGAAATAAAAGTTTGAAATGAAAAAAAAAATTAAATATGCTCATTATTTGAAAGTAGAAAAAATTCAAAAATTAAAAAAAAAGTTTAAATCTTTTAAGCTAACATTTTAATAAAATTATTCAGCAATAGCAACGTTGTCGATAAAATTGAACAAAAATACTTTCTTTTAGTTTTAGATTTTAAACTTAAATAATTATTTTACAGGGGTTTGATAGGTTTTAAAATTATTCCATAGATTTAAAAATATTTATTAACTGTTAGACGTATTTTAAGTATTTAAGAGTGATTTCGAGGAAACATTTTAAAAATTGGTGAGGGCAAATAAAAAAAAAAAAAGATTAATATCAAAACGTATTCTACTTGATTCAATAAAAAAGTACAGTTATTAAAATTTTGGTAAAAAGTAACTCAAAAAAATTACTTAAATAATAACGATCGCTTTTATGTTAAAAGTTACCGAAACTCATCGAAGCGTGCTCAAGAACAGCTGCTGAAAAATAGAACGTCAATAGTTTTTCGAATAATTTTTAAGAATAATTTTTAAGAATAATTTTTTCGCTGAAATATTTCTTTTATACCTATAAGATTTTTATTCTAACATTTTATTTTATTTTAATAGAAATAAAATTCCTTGTTAACATTAAAAATCTATTCAAAACGTTTGTTTAAGTTTTTTATTAATACGAGTGATTGTGCTTATCAACCGCTTTATGAAAATAAATAAAAATAAATAAATATTATATAAAATCGCTTGTAAAAATATTAGCTATTGCACAGTTTTTAATCGTACAATATTAAAATTTCCAGTTTATTACTCGCTGACTTTTTAAAAAGAAAAAATAATTATTTGAAAAACTTTAAATTACATATTTAAGAAAAAAAAAATCAAATATTAGCATATTTTATAATCTTTTTTAAATTTAAGTTATAATGTTTTTTATTCGTTTAGTATAGACAAAACGTGACAAACGTCGAGAAAATAAACAAATGTTTTTACATTTTAAAAAACGAAACATTCCAAAACATTTTTAAATAATAACATTTCTACATAAACGATTTAAAGTAGTTTTGCGGTAATTAAATAAATTGGTGCAGTTAATGTCGATAAATATGAAAAGCAAATAAAAAGAATTTAATGACGTCAAAAATCGCGTCGTGCTTATGCGTCGCGCAGTTCTTATTCATCGCAAGGCCTGATCTCATATGAAAGAGCATTAAAAAAAAAATGTTTGATGTATATTATTTTTTCTAAAACGTAATAATAAACACACACTTACAAATTTAATTTCCAAAAAAAAGTTTTTATTCGATTAAAAAAAATGCGTCTTGTCTAAAGTTTATTGACTCTATTGCCTCAAAAAACTAACGTTTGTACGTCAAATTAAACAAAGTAGACAAAATGTCATTATTGCAAACGTATTAGTTGATAATTAAATTTAAAAGTAAATTCGTTTTTTTTTAACTAACACAAAATTACTTACAAGAATAAGTTTTGTAGAATTTTGTGAAAATATATTAGTATATTAAAATATTTTTAATAATTTTTATTTATATATTTGTGTTATATGGGCAATTCCACGGCCAAAAATGAATAGAAGTCAAATTTTAAACTCTTTTTAGTCAGTTTTTAACAAATGAATATTGATGTAGACACATGAAAGTTTATTTAAAATATTTCCTTAGTACAAAAATAAATTTATTTCAGTCATTTTTATGGTTTCGAAAGTGACAGTTATTCTCATTTTCTTTTGATAAAAAAAAATAATTATTGTAAAATGTTTTGGTTCAAATTGATAAGGTTGAATAGACATTTTATTAGAAATTAAACTAAGACAAGGCTCGACTCAACACAAAAAAATCTAATCACGAAAAAAAAATTTTTTTTGCTTCCTCTCTCTCTCTCTCTCTCTCTCTCTCTCTCTCTCTCTCTCTCTTATAGCTTGCGCCAATGTGCGGTAATGGGGGGAGGGGGTTGCGTTAGTATAAAATTCTCTCTTTAGCATGTAATTGTTATCTTTTAACATACTATCTCTCATATTTAAATGTTATCTTATAATTTTCTTGTTTAGCAGAGTTTAAAATAGCGTAAGTTACTGTTATAATTTACAACTTATAGTTTAAGTTGCAGTTACAGTGTAATAAGCAAGTAACGTATTTAATACTATTAATTAAGTAATTGTTTTTACTTAACATGATACTTAAAAAAGTAAAAGTAAAAAAATTAGAGTAAAAAGCAAACATTACTATATTTCAGTGACGGATGCAGGGGGAGGATGGGGGTATGCATCCCCTCCCCCCACCAGAATCTGAAAGTCTTGAAAATATCATAGAAATTAAGGACCTTGTTTTTTGGTTTTTTTTTAAGGAGACGCAAACATGGTACAAAATTCAAAAAAATTTTAACATCCCCATCCACCAAAAATTCCTGGATCCGTCACGGCAATATTTAAACCACTTTAATTAGTCATAAAAAACTGTTTAATATGATCACATGATAAAACACGTGTTTTTAAATGAGTATTTAATTGTTATTGTAAAAAGCTATAAAATAACAATAAAACAAAAAGTTGTCTTTAAAATATAAATAGCTAGTGTTATTGTAAAACAACTTCGTGACGCTGTTTTGTTGCTGTTTTATACAGTTTAATAACATAAAATGCGTTTAAAATAAAATGAAGCAAATAAATGTTTTAATAAATTAAAAAATTATTGTCAATAAATCAAAAAACATTGTCAAAAACTTAATAAAAAATTAGATACCATGTTTTTTATAATTTATTGTTTCTTGAATAAAGGACTAATAAAAGTTTAAATATAATTAAGTTTTTCATTTAAATGGTTTTTAAGTTGATGTTTTTATTCAATTTTTCTATTTTTTTTTCAATTTTTCTATTTTTTAATTATTCTATGCTATTATTGTTTTCCAATAAAACGTGAAACAAAAAAATTTGGTTTAATAAATCGAATTATTCTTCATGTTTTAAATAAGGCTTAAAAACGTTAAAGTAAAAAAATTGCTGGTTTAAATTAGCATTTTTACTATTTGAAAAAAAAAAAAACTAATAAAAAAGAAATAACTAATAATATATTAATTAATAATTATTAGAATTAATAATAATTAATTTTTTTTTTATTAGTTTTTTTTTCAAACAGTATAAAAATGCAAATAAAAGTCAGCATTTTTTTTGCTCTAATGTTTTTAAGCCTTATTTTAAACATGAAGTTTTGATAAACAAAGATAAAAACCAGGGTGTTTTGTTAGAATGAAGAAAAAATTTGAATTAACGTCTTTTGCCTTTTTCAACTTTTCGCTTTAACCGACCTTTTAAAAATTTTCCACACAGAGATTTAAAGTAATTTAAATTCAAAAATGTTTTACGTTGAAAGAAAATCTCCGCGCAAATCATCTATTTATCTATCTATTCAGAATAATAAATTTTGTGTGACGTTCTTTATGATAAAAACATTACTTTTAAGAATTGGTAAAAAAAATGCTAAGCTAGAAAAACTTAACTATTTAATCACAACTTTTTTTTACTTGAAATCGAAGTAGATATTCTAAAGTTGTTGTGACGTACTAACGTGATTTTTAACAACTAACAATCGAGTTTCAATTGTAAAAAAATAAAATCATAATGGAGTTGTTTTTCAGTGAATTTGGCAATTGCTTTTTGTTAGCATGCATTTATTATTACAATATAGTGAAAAAGAAAAAAAACTTACATATTTTTTTTTATGCTTTTTCATATGAGATCATATGTTAGGAGCACTTAGGGATCCCTTTAATCTTTAAATTAAAATAATAAGTAAAATTGTTGAAAAAGTTTTTGTTTTAATGAAAGGTAAAAAGAAAGAACAGGATCATCAGGATCATCATGACCACTCTGCTACCAGTAACATACAATCCAATACAACCTTCCCCATGCCCTGCTCCTTTGTAGGTACCACCTTCCTACACAAGGCTAGGAGTTAATTATGACTTTAAATACTCCTGCTTTGAGGCTCTGTTTAATTTGTAAAAGTGTTGTCTCCTTAAAAACACTCATCTTGGGCAGATGTTGCATAGAACAAATGTATTTTTATGATTGCTAGAATGGATGCTAAAAAATTTTTTTTTGATGCTGAGGCTCATTATTCTCCTATTACTAAATATTGTATTTTATTATTAATTAGTTTGCAATGGATTTGTGTATATGGTTTCTATGAGAGTTCAGTAGTGAATAACAATCCAAGAGCTTTTTTTATCAACAAATTTGATATTTTTAAAAACTAGCTTTTTGTAATGGCTTGAAGCTAAATTATACCAGATAATTATGTATTGATATGTTTTAGTGAAAAGTCTTTTAGCGTAGCAAAAAATTTTCCTTTTTAAATTATGAAATAGATGTTTAAGCTATATTTGTTTTATGTTGTTTTATAAATACTTAAGATGAAAAGCATATCTTAAAAAGTAGTTTTTTCAAATTTAGTAATGAGGTTATATTTAAAATTTTTTAGTCTTAAAGAATTTTTGAAATAAATTTTTTTTCCATTATTTGTACTATGCATAAAAGTAAGGTTAAACTCATTCAAAATCTTTGAATTCATGATAAAGAGTACCACAAAATGTCCTGATTTTTTTTCTATGTTCTTTCTGGAAATATTTTTTACATCTTATTTCTGTATACTTTTGACAAAAAATTGACGGCAGCCAAATTTATTAGTTTCTTATCAGAGAAATGCCTTAATGATGATTAAACGATTAAACATGATTTTAATCTTTAGTCTTTTTAATTTCTTTTTTCAGCTATCATTCTATAGCAGTCATGAACTGGAAAGGCATGCAATCGCACTCAATTCCTGACCAAGTGTTTATTAAAATTTTTTGACAACTTTAACCACGGCTTTTTAGATTTTTGAAAATGTTTTAAAAATGCGCTAAGTAGAGTGTAAGGTAATAATATAAGAAATTGCTTTTAAGATTGTATACTATAAAAGACATTTATTTAATTTATCGAATAATATTGTTAAAAATCATGTTTTTTTATGATGAATATAAATGTTTTTAAAACAATTTGTACAATTAATTTAATAAATAACAACAAAAACAATAGTTTTAATAAACTTTTTGATAAATCCATAAATTTAATAGTCGAAAACATAACAAAGTTATTTTTTTTTGTTACGCTATGAAAACTTTCTAATAAAATTTGTTTACACAAAGCTAAGCATAAAATTTGTTTACACAAAGCTAAACGCTTTTAAAAAAAGTTTTAAAATGCTGTTAAATAAATTCATAGAATATTAAATAAAATGTTTGTTTATTTCAAAAGTTTCTTTTTTTAATGATTGAATGAATGAATGAATATTTTAATTTTTTAAAGTAATGAATAATTTAATTTTATTAAGTAATTTTTTAAAAACAATTTGTATTTTTAATTATATAAACAACGACGACAACAAATGCGTTTCAATAAACTTTTTTAAAAAATACTTTTTGAAAATTTAAATAAAGTTAGTTTTTTATTAAATGATAGTTAGATGTTTTTTAGTTTATAATAGATATTAGTTTTTTATTTATTTAAAAGAGTTCGCCTAATATAAAAACATAAGAAAAAAATCAAAGTTTTATAAATTTTTAAAGATCAAAGTTTTGTCGCATTGATTTAAAAAGGTTGTAACTGTATTAGGAAAATTTAAAAAGAATTTTAATTTTTTTAAATATTTTATTAAAGTTGTTTGTATTATTACTTATTTATTTGTTTATGTATTCTTCTTTTGATTGATATATAAAAATAAATAGATAAATAAAAAATAATCATATAAATATTATTATTTAGACATTTAAAAAAAAAAAAATTATTTGCTATTCTCCTTATATAAAAAAATCAGTTAAAAACTCGTCAAATCATCACGATGAGTTATTCAATCTTAACATATTTACAAAACATTATTAAAAATAATATTATATTAGTGTTTTAGTTTTTCAGATTTATATTAGTTGATTTTTTTTAGAGTTATAGGTTTTAATTTTTATTTTTAATTTTTGTTTCGTTAGGATTTCTTTCTTTTTTATATAGTTTAGCATGTTTGAAATATTTTTCCTCTGTCAATTTTATTCAGTGCATTTTTTGTTATCTAAAGAGCCATGGTCAAGCTATTAAAAAAAAATTACATGCATGGTCAAGATTAGAGTGCGATCGCATGCCTTGCCTGTCCACAACTGCTATGGATCTATTAGTCTATATATAGGACATATATGTGTATCATTACGTTTTTATGGTTTTTATGTAGTTTTACACATATTCACATATGAGCTCTTGACTTGAATTAATTATTTTTACCATTTTATCTTGTAATCAGTTTAATTTTTTTTTTATTTAATTAAGAGGCAAATATCGATAATTAAATTGATTAAAAGATAAATATTGATAATTTAATTAAGAAATAAATATTGATAATTTAAATAATTAAGTGATAAGTATCACAAATAGTCCAGTTAATTTGTCATCAGCCATTAATTTACCATTTAAAAAACAACTTAAAAAAACCTTCGAAGAAAACTCGTGTGTTTTTAAATTTTAAATAATTTTTTGGATATTTTTTTTTTTTTTGCGAAATTAAGTTTTAGAGATTAGTCTTTTTTTTTTATTTACAAAATCTCCTTTTTTTTTTAGGAGATTAACCATTTGAAGAATGCTGCTCTTAGAGCACAGCAACTGTAAGTTTAATTTAATTTCATGTTAGTTTTTATGAAATAATTTTTTTTTCCCCTGTTTTTACATTCCACTAAATTTCTTTTTAAATAAAAGTACTGAAGATAATAAAGCTTTGATGAATGAGCTGAATCAGCTGCAGCAAAATAACAAGAAATGTCGTGCAGATTTCGACAATGCCATAATTCAATTAAAACAAAGTGAGCAACATCAAAAAGCAATGCATGATCGCATTGTGTTTTATGAAAGTGAAATTAAAGTAACACAACAATCAATGGTAAATATATTCACTTTGTAACTATATTATAATGTATAGGCCATAACTGCTTATTAAAAGTAATTTCTAAAAGCTAACTTATTAAGTTTCTTTAAATTTTTTTAATTTCTTTAAATAAAAACTCATTAAGTTACTTTAATTAATTTTAAAAATTTTTATTTAATAAACTTTAATAATTAAACTTCAATTTAAAAAAATTAATTTAAGTTACTTGAATTAAGATAAAAAAACTGTTGGGTTGCAGTTGGGCTTAAAATTTGTTATCGATGTTCATGATGTCTAATGACTGAATGCTCATAGATAAGTTTTTTCCGGGAATTCCCGGAATTCCGGGAATTCACTAAAAACTTCTTTAATTTTCCAGAAATTTCCAGATGTTTTTTGTTAATAATTTGAAAAAAAAGTTTATATATTTTTACATAAAATTTTAAATACGACAACTTTTGCATTTAAACAAATATGTTTTTTATCATTAAAATTTTTATGAGATAAATTTTCGTAACAGTTTTCTTTTTCTTTTTTTTTTCGCTTTTTAATTCATTCAAATTATATTTTTCGAATATTAGAAATTCTTTTTTGTAAAAAGTTAAATAATCTAAATTCTGTTTTAAAAGTTTACGAAAGTTTTTGTCTGATAAATACGATCAATTTTTAATAAAATGATTTTCCGGGATTTTTATAGAAAAAAAATTTCCGGGATTTTCATAAAGTCAAATACTCATCTATGATGCTAAACTGGTACCACTAAATGGACTCGAATTATTGAAATAGCAAAATTTTATTTTAACTAAGTAACTTTTAAAAATATTTTGTTTAGCAAAAAATATGACATTTTGGTTGAGCTTTTATAGTAAAAGTTGTACAGTCAATAAAAAAACATGTGTACCACACTTTAACTGTATTACACCAATAGAGTTCTTACTTTTTACCATTTTTACTGTTTTTGACATAAAGGTTCAACCCTACTATCAATGAAACACACAGTAAGTTACAATGTGCTTATAATCTATAACCTAGTATATACTGATTTTTAATATTTAATTAATTTTAAATTTGATATTAAAATTTGATTTTGCACATTGCTTTTATTTTTACAAGATGCATTGAATTTTAATAAGTTAAGTAATTTTCAAAATTATATTTATCTACTTTTTATTTCTGGTCTGTATAGCTAAAAAGATGTCACAAAGTTTAAACAAAAATTAAACAATCCAGCCAAGTCAAATTTACTCTGATAAGTTGTTGTTGCTTGAGTAAAATGGCTTTTGATATTTTTTTATTAAAATTTTCAGTTAACTTTTTTATTATTATTATTTTTTTCATTAAATTATTTATTTTTTATAATTTTTATTAGAATAAACTTAAAAATTTGTTCTTGTTATTTTTCTTTTTATATAACTATGATTTTCTTTCAGAAAGAAACAGAAAAGTCTCTTTCACAGCGCATTCAAGAAGCTAACAATGAGTTAATGAAGGGTGAAGCTTATAAACAACGTTTGATTCTTGAGTTAGATCAATCCAAAAAATTCAATGAAAGCATTGTTATAGAAAAAGAAGCTATTCAAAAGAATTCTTTGTCGTTGTCGGATGAGTTAAGAAAGCACCAATCAAAGTTATCTGATGCTGAATCTAAACTCGTTGAAACAATGAAAATTGTTGAAAGGTTAAACCGTGAAAATAAATCTGATGATTCGTTTCTTGTAAAGTTATCAAAAGCTGATCACAGTTTGAACAATTTAGAAAATGCACTTCAACGAGTTTTAGATCTTGAAAAAGAGCTAGCAGAAAATAACCAGAGTAAAGTTGAAAATAAATTAACTGAGCTTAACCAGTTAAAGGCAAATCTCTCTGAAGCAGAAAAAAAAATCAGTGACTTAAGTAACCTTAATGCTAAATTAGTTGAAGCTGAAAATAAACTAAATGAAGCTAATCAACTTCAGGTAAAACTGTCAGAAATGGAGAGTAAGCTTGCTGAAGCTGAGAAATCTAGATTACTTATGGAGTCACAACTAACAGCAGAATCTAATGTTAATACACCAAATGAAATTAAGGTATTGTTCTAAACGAATTAGTATATTCATTTTTGTATAAATATACATCTATGCGAATGGATCAGTAAAATTATGTCAGCATAATCTTGTATTGAAATATTATTGCATAATAGTAAATCAGAATATTAAAATATAATATGGCTTACTATTTTTTTATATTTTATTTTTAAGCTTCTGTAAGTCCAAGTTATTTACTATAAAAAACAATTATTTATATGGTAAATGATCATTATTTGCTAATAAAATTGTCATTATAAACTATGAAAATGATCATTTTTTTAATGATCTTTGTAAGTTTTAATTTTATGAAAAAGACTTTGTTAATGATATAGAAATATCAAGATGAATTGACTGCAGTCCATGAAAAAATGCAACAGCTGATTACATCAGCTAATGAGCAACAAACATCTTCAAATGAAGTCACAGAGCTAAATAAAAAGTTAGTAATAAGTTTTTTTTATAGTTACACACACACACACACACACACACACACACACACACACACACACACACACACACACACACACACACACACACACACACACAAAAGCCTTCTGAGGCATGTGGTTGCACGTCTTATTAAATTTTTTCCGGATTTTTAAAATATGACCTAGATGATCTATGACATTTTAAAAATGCTATAAAAAAAGTAATAACTACCCAGCAAACATTCTTTAGCAGAATTTATAAGCATTTTGAGCGGTGCACTGTAGTTTTGCTATTAAAAAGTTATTGGCTGGCCACTTATAGTAGATGTCACTAATGGTCCACTAAGTAACTGAAGAGCAAAACTCCAACTGCTCGATATGCCTATATAGGTCCACTGCAAATAAACTACAAAAATATTTGCTAAGTAATAATAAAATACTAAAAATTAAAAAAAAAACTGAAAAAATAAAAATAAATAGAGGAATTAAATGAATGCTAAAATAAACTTGAATTAATAAAACTATAAAAATAACGTCTTTTTTTTTAATTAAAAAGTTTGTTTAAATGTTTTTTTTTTTTTTTTAATTTTAAAGTGTTTCACTTAATAGACTTAATAGATAAAAGATCTAAGTTATAAATTAATAGATTAATAGATAATAGATCTTACTTAATAGATAACACTTAATAGATAAAAGATCTAAGTTATAAAGTTATTTAATCCAAACTTAATTACTTCAAAACTTAGTTATTTAAAAACGTTAAAGGTTCTTTGATATTTTCTAGTTAACAAGACACAAAAAAAAATTATTTCTTTAAATTTTTTTTATCCCGTACCCAATAAATTTATAGTTACACTTCAAATTTAGAATGTTACATCTTAAGTGCTACACTGTTATTATGTTGTTTATAAAATTATTAACTTTGAAATTATAAACTATTTATTGAAATTATAAACTATTAAGTGAGACACTTTTAAATTAAAGAAATTTAAACTATTTTTATGTTCTTTTTTTCTTCTGGTTTATCTTTTATTTTTCTATCATTCTTTAAGGTTTTGTTTCTCTTTAGTTAATGGTTTGTTTACAGAAACTATTCTAGACCATTTTCAACAGTCTCGGCTGTATTTAGGCACCAAATTGGGCGCTGCCCAAATTAAAATTAAAGGCCTTTTTTTTTTTACGGTTTTTTTATGTTTTCATGGCAAGTATAGTTTTTCCAACAAAAAAATTGTCGCTTTTCTGCCAAAACAAGGGGGTATCGCTGCCCAAATTTTTTTAGAATAGGCTCTGGTTTATTTTGAATTTTCTCCTTAGTTTAGTTGTTTTTTTTTTAGCTCGATTTAAAGTGCACAAATTATTAAAACAAGCAAAGAGCCAGGGTCAAGTTGTCAAACAAAATATAAGCGTGGTCAGATAAGGCGTATTATTGCCCATTTCTCCTTAGAAGGCCTTAAAATATATTTTTAGGGGTGCCTCATGACCCTTGAACATTAAATGGGTCCCTAAAATTAATAAAAAAGGTTTTTTAAAAAAGGATTTTTTTTGGGGTCTCAAATAAAGTAATATTTAAAATATAAAAATTTCAAAAATAATAATCAATTTATAAAAAAATAATTATTTTAGATTTTATTAAATAGCATTTGAAACTTAAACTTTTTTGATTACATATTTAATATAATTTTGCTTAATTTGAGATCCAACAAGATATACTTTTGAAAAACTTTTTTTAATAGTATTAGGGATCCATTAAATGTTTAATTCGGGGTCTTAAGGCACCTTTAAAAATGTTTTTTATTCAAACACAATTTTAAATTCAGTGTTATTTTATTTTAAACAACACATTAAGGTGCATGCTGCAGATATTTTTCAAAAAGGCTGTTTTTTGACCCACCCTAATATATATATATATATATATATATATATATATATATATATATATATATATATATATATATATATATATATATATATATATATATATACACACACACAATATATATGTATAATATATATGTATATATATATATATATATATATATATATATACACAATATATATGTATACAATATATATATATATATATATATATATACACAATATATATGTATACAATATATATATATATATATATATATATATATATATATATATATATATATATATATATATATATATATATATATACACAATATATATGTATACAATATATATATATATATATATATATATATATATATATATATATCAGGCCTTGTTAAGAAGCGTTACGCAGCTCGCATTTTGCCTGCGAAAAGGCAATTTGCCTACGCGTTCAGCAGTTATGCGTTACGCAAAAACTTTTATCTTTTAGAATATTTAAATTATCTTTTTATATCGTTTATGTGACGTTCATTCAAAAGTATTAAAGTCGTAAGTAAAAGCATTTAACCGCAATTGTAAACTAATAGATTTTTTGTTAAAGAAACAATTTGTTTAATAATTTTTTTTTTGTTTTTAAAAATTACTTAAAGAAAATAAAGAGTTTTAAGTTTAAACTTTTCATCATATTTAATTTTAAATATTAGATTTCATAAGTTTATAAACAATCAAATTTAAAAAAAGAAATATTTTCAATTTATTTTATTAAATTTAAATATTTTTTTAATAATTATAGTTTATAGTAAATAAATTTAATTAAAATTCTTTCATTTAATTTTAAAACAGAGCAATTAAAAATTTTTTAAATTTAAAATGCTCCGTTTTTTTTAATGATAAAATTACCAAAGTAAAAAAAGATTTAAAAATTTAATTCAAGTTACTTTAAAATGTTCGTATTACATATAACTTTATTTTGATTTTAGTTAAGTTTTAGGTAAGTTCCAAATACTGGTCTGAATAATGCGCTTAACAAAAGTGCATTATTTTCCAGTTTTTATTTTTCCATTATTTTAAGGCGATTTTCCACTCATCCGTTTTTTCACGGGAACGGGAAAGGGACAGGAAAAATAATCACATGGGCATGCGTAGTATAAGTTTTAATATGTCCAAAGAAAAAATACGCATGCTCACGTGATTACTTTTTCCTTTCCTATCTCGTTCCCATGAAAAAATGAATGAGTGGAAACCCACCTTTAAGGTGAGTTTCCACTCATCCGTTTTTCTACAGGAAAAGGAAAGGGAACGGAAAAATAATCATGTGAGCATGTGCAGTTTTTTTTCAGATAAATAAAAAACTTTTATTACGCATGCTCACGTTATTATTTTTACCTTTCCTATCCCATTCGCGTAGAAAAACGGATGAGTGGAAACTCGCCTTTACAGTTTCATTCATTATTTACAGAAGCGCATTATTCATTTTATAACTACAAGTTAATAAATGACGTCAATACTTTTAAACTCGAGTTATAAATGTTATGTTTGGGTTTTCCCTTTGCCGTTTGCTGAAGAATTTTTTTTTATAAAACAAACCAAGGACGTATTAATACGTCCTTGAACAAACCAAAATTCAAACCTATTAAAAATAACCCGATCAGTAAATAAACTCTTTAAAAGTCCAACTTATCTTTATTTTATTTTAAAAACAAAAAATAGTACTTGAGCTATAAATATAAGATACATAAATTTAATATAAGATTTAATATAAGATACATAAATTATAATGATATTTGTTGAAAACAAATTCTGCTTATAACATCTTAAAACCGAAAACACTATTTTTTTTTTTTTTTTTTGGATTGAGTAAAAAAATATTAGGTTTCACTGTACATAAAAATAAAATATTTTAATGGAAATAAAAAAAAAACAAAGCCGAAAACGCAGTAAATTTCGTTTCTTTACAACATTTATTTTATCAAAACCAGTTAGTGCAAACGTTTTTTTTAAAAGGGGAAAACCCAATCTATGCGTTTAGTTATAAGTACATTTAAATCCTTTTAAGAAAATCAACCATAAACAAGTGTTAAATTTAAATTATTTAAAAAAAAATTAAAAAAACAACAACCATAAAACGAATGTTTAAAAGCAAAAAAATTAAGTTTAAATAAGTATAAGATTTTAATACAAGAAGACATTTTTTTAATCAACATTGAAATTTTGTTTTTATAACAACATTGTTCAATTTAAAGCTATTTCGTTTCAAAGACTAACAATAGTTTTTAATGTCATTTTAAATTTAATTACAATGATGTAAAAACGCAACTGACGTAAATTAACTTTTAACAATGTAAATATCTTTATTGAGTAAAGTTACGTTTATTCACGTTTCGCTTTTCCGTTACGCAGCGAAGTCTCGTAACAAGGCCTGATATATATATATACACACATATACAGGCATCGGCAGGAATAAATGAGCACAAGAGCAGAGAAAAGCTCTCCTAAAATGAACTTGGGGAGCTGTGCAGGCTGCTCCTCATTTAAATCTGCGGTCTTTTTTAATTTTAATTTTTTTTTTGCAACAACCATGCTTTTTAAAAAGCATTGCAGTATATTATGCAATTATTTTTTTTTAAATGACATTGTGTTTTTTATTTTAGTTACAACAATAATTATACTTTCATAGAAAAAACTATACTTTTGCGAGAGCCGTAAATTGCTCCCGTAAACCGTTTTAGGGGAGTGTGGGTGAGAGCAAGAACTAAAGCTCTCACTTCCCATCAAGGCCTATATATATATATATATATATATATATATATATATATATATATATATATATATATATATATATATATATATATATATATATATATATATATATATATATATATATAGGCCTTGCGATAAAGCGTCGGGCGATGTGAATTTTACGTCGTCCAAGAGCGATTTTGCGTGTAGCTAGGGCGATTTGCGTCGAGCAAAAAATTTTTTGTTTGAGTATATTTAAAGATATTTTTGAGCGGAACTTTAATGAAGTAATTTACGTTTATGAAGTAATGAAGTAATTTACATTCATGAAGTAATGAAGTAATTTACATTAATGAAGTAATTTTCATTTTAATGAAGTAATTTTAACAATTACAAATTTTTAAAAACCGCGCGCAGTTGATCTAAAAGTTTGAATTACAAAAAAAAAAAAAAAAAAAAATGCTCATTATTTACAAGTAGAAAAAATTCAGATTAAAAAAAAATGTAAATCTTTTTAAGCTAGCATTTTAATAAAATTAATCAGCAATAGCAAAGTTGTCGATAAAATTGAACAAAAATACTTTCTTTTAGTTTTAGATTTTTAACTTAAATAATTGATTTACGGGGGTTTGTTAGGTTTTAAAATTATTCCATAGATTTAAAAATATTTATTAACTGTTAGACGAATTTAAAGTATTTAAGAGTAATTTCGAGGAAACATTTTAAAAATTGGTAAGCGCAAATAAAAAAAATAAAAAGAATAATATTAAAACGTATACTTGATTCAATAAAAAAGTAGAGTTATTAAACTTTTTGTAAAAAGTAACAGTAAAAAAAATTAATTAAATAATAACAATCGCTTTTTTGTTAAAAGTTACCGAAACTCAACGAAGCGTGCTCAAGAACAGCTGCTGAAAAATAGAACGTCAATAGTTTTTCGAATAATTTTTAATAATAATTTTTAGGAATAAATTTTCCGCTGAAATATTTCTTTTATACCTAGAAGATTTTTATTCTAACATTTTATTTTATTTTACCAAAAATAGAATTCCTTGTAAACATTAAAAATCTATTCAAAACGTTCGTTAAAGTTTTTAAAGTTAAAGTTCATACAAGTGATTTTCTAATTATGTGCTTATTAACCGCTTTATGAAAATAAATAAAAATAAATAAATAAATAAATATTATATAAAATCGCTAGTGAAAATATTAGCTATTGCACAGTCTTTAATCGTACATTATTAAAATTTCCAGTTTATTACTCTCTGACTTTTTAAAAAGAAAAAATAATTATTTGAAAAACTTATGTTTTTTATTCCTTTAGTATAGACAAAACGTGTCAAACGTCTAGAAAATAAATGTTTTTACATTTTAAAAAACGAAACATTCCAAAACATTTTAAAATAATAACATTTCTACATTAATGATTTAAAGTAGTTTTGCGGTAATTAAGTAAATTGGTGCAGTTAATGTCGATAAATATGAAAAGCAAATAAAAAGAATTTAATGACGTCAAAAATCACGTCGTGCTTATGCGTCGCGCAGTTTTTATTCATCACAAGGCCTATATATATATATATATATATATATATATATATATATATATATATATATATATATATATATATATATATATATATATATATATATATATATATATATATATATATATATATATATATATATATATATGTATGTATATATTAGTATTTGCATAGTCATATTAGTTTTTTTTAAAATAGTTTTAATATGTGTATACATATATAAATGCAGCATTAGGTGCACTAATCCTTTCTTACCTGAATTACCATTACCAGCATTGGACACAATTAATTCTTTCTTAACAATCTTAATGTAAAAGTTGTCCTTTATGGACAGCTTCATATCAGGGGTTCTTTAAGGTTCTTTCCTTTGCCCTATACTTTTTTTAATTTACATTAAAGATCTCCCAGAGATTCTCACATCAAAGGTGACATTGTTTGCTAATGGTGTTACCATTTATTCTTGTATTGGTAAGAAGCCAAAACCTTCTAATGGCTTGGAGGGAGTATTTGAGCTTGAAAAAAATCTCACTACTGCAACAGCATGGTGCTCTCTGAATGACTGGTGAACTTTAACTCAGATGAAGCACAATTTTTTTCAGATTATATATATATATATATATATATATATATATATATATATATATATATATATATATATATATATATATATATATATATATATATATACCAGGCTTGGTCGGGAAGCGGGAGCGATCGCTCTCGATTGCTGACCACGTAAATAATATTTAGTTGCGAAAAGCTGGCCAGATTTTTTAGACGTTTTGAGAACATTTTAAAAAGCAAAAAAAAAAAGCGCTTAAGATTAATTGGACCGATTAGAGACAATTACAAAAAAAAAAAATTAGGTAAATAAAATATCTTTAAACGCAAAAAAACTTTAAGCTAAATAAATTACGTTTAAAACAAATATTTTCAAAACATCGCTTTTTTATAATTTTTTTCATAAAATTAAACGATGTTTTTTATATAAAGTAACAACTTACGATTGTTTAAAAATTTTTTCATTTTTTCAATACCTATTTTATGTTTCGCGTAGTTTGAAAAGTTTAACATATTTGAAGCAATTCTTCTTAGTAAGAAAAACAAATGAAATAATTAAATCATAGAAATTAAATTAACAATATAGAAATCAACTTAAGATTAACAATACTTTATGACGAGGATGCGAAATTGCTTCACAATATCCCTGGTGATGTTTAGTGAGTGGGCTTTTTAATTTTAATTACTATTTAAAGCAGAAAAAAGTATAAAGAGTTTTTAGAATGGCAACTTAAGCGAAAATAATTAGAGTTAGTAAACCAATATCAAGTAACTTTTCTTTATATCTAATTATTTGCTATATATATTTGAGTTCTGTTGTGACCTTAGGCGCGGTGCTTGTTCATCTGCGAGTTACTTTGTTCGCGTTGTTCGTGTTTAGTAACTAGAAACTTCTTATATGTTTGTTACGTAATTAGTTTTATTAACTATAACGATTATAACTTCATTGAAAACGCAATTATTTTTGTAAGTCTTTGTTTAAATCGTAAAAATTGCTTTAAGATACAATACGATAAAAAACAGATAAACAAAATTAAATTTACACAAAGAATACATACTTTTTAAATAAAAAATAAGAATATACTAATAAAATCTATAATTTATAATAAACTTTTAACATTTTGACAATTTAATATATATATATTTAAAACTTTTATTTTTGTAAACAAATAATATATTTATTCTTAAAACAATTTATGCTAGAAATCTCAAAACGTAACAAATCGTTTCTAAAACATTTTTTAAAACATTTCAACAGAATACTCTAGAGCTTTATTTCGCTAAGTCAGCGTATTTTTTTCTGAATTAGAATTAGTTTCTTCGTTAATTTGGCGGGTTTTTAGTGTTCGCGAATATTCTTTTTATTCTTTCGCACAAAGATATTTTGTGAACATTCAAGTTTATTATGTTTCCATGTATGTCCGTAAAACAAAAATTTTTTGTTTCGTACATAAACTTAAATGTTCTCAAAACGACTAAAAAACCTGGCCAGTTTTTCGCAACTAAATATAATTTCCGTGGTCAGTATTCAAGAGCAATCGCTCCCGCTTCCTGACCAAGCCTGATATACACATCTATATTTTTTATATTTAAAGTTTAAAAAATGTTTGACCATATGTTAATTTCTAAAATATAAAAAATATGCATCAAGTTTTTTTTTTAAATATCACTAAACTTGTTTATTTATTTTTGATTCTCTGTTTTATTTTGTACTGCTTATCTGTATTATTGTATTTTATTTTGTTGTACTGCTCACTTTTTTTTTTCTTTTTGTTGTTGTTGTTGTTGTTCTTAAAAAAAATGTTTTTAATTCTTAGAATAGTGGAGCTTGAACGAGAGATAGTTGAGTTAAAAAATCTTCTAGTAAATAATCCAAAACTTGAAGAGGAGCTTAAAGAAATCAAAGAAATCAATAAGAAAAAAGAGGAAATACTCAGTGACATAAAAGCAAAAAATAATGTAATTAAATTTCTTTTTTTAATAACTTTAATTATATGCTTACTGTTGTTTCAAAGAAGTTGTTGTGATTACCAAGTACATGATTTTATTGGATTACATTTATGTAAAGTAATATTTCATATGTAGGGTGAATAAGGATATTAATTTTTAATGCTATTTTTATAAAATTTTATAATTACCTATTCATTACAAAACTGTAATGGAAACTTTTTTCTTTATTAGCTACAATACAGGAAACAAATAAAGAGCTTTTTACTTTTTCCCCAAGAAATAATAAATTTAAGTGTTTTAAATTCTTTAATGAGTCTTTGCATTTTTTCTAAACACAAAAAAGTTTGCCAACTTTTGCTATTTATAAAGATTATAATGTATTTTTATGTATCTGTGACTGAAACAAGTTAGTTTTGTTTAGGAAAATACATTTTAAAAATTAGAAAATAGAAAAATTTATTTGAAAAAGGAAAGAAAAAATTTTAGATTTATTAAATTTTAGTAAAAGCATTCTCTAATCTCCCCTGGTTGTGTTTCTGATATAAGAAGATTAGTGGTGGATTAAAATCTCTCAAAGCATACATCATCAACCATAAACTTAGTGTATATATCATATAATATATCTTGCAATTAATAATGTATAACTTAAACAAATAAATATGTGTACAACACACCATTAAAACTTTTCATTATTAAATTCTTAAACAGTATTAATGTTAAACAGTAGATTTTAGGAAAAAAAACTGAGTTTTCTAAAAAAAATTATTGATAAATGTTAATTAAACTATTTGGCACTGTTTTCTGCTCAACCAACAGGTCCAAAACAGAAAACAACATATGTGACCTGGTTGAAGATAAACCCATTATCTAGTTAAAGGGTGTAACTTCTATTTTTGTAAAGACTTGACAAGGTTCGTGCTTTTGATTTTAGAAAGAAAGTGGTGTAAGGGCAATCTAGTTAGATTTATAAAATTTCCTTACTGTACTTAACTGAACTGCAATGTTTGAATTAGCTTAAATAGTGGTCGGCAGATGCTTTATTGTCTACTATTCCAAATGATTTTTTTTAGGAGAGGTATAATTTTATTTAAAATTAGTTTTAAAAAAATTTCAATTGTGTTTGATTTTTAAATTAATTTATTATAGAAACACTTTGAAATAAAGATAAAACTTGTTTAATTATCTAGGGAACAAAAATCTAACTATATATTGATATTGCCACCCTTGGAATTAGGGTCAGCATTCGGCAATGCCAACCTAACTGCCGACCATAAAGAGTTTGAGGTTGGCAAAAAATTGCCCACCTCGTTACTATGTTTTATGGTAAGACCTAAGTATCGAATTTTTTTTGCCAACTTGATGCTGACCTCTAAAAGATTTTTAAATAATTGCCAACCCCATTTTTAATTCCAAGGGATAATATTGTGATATTAACAGTCAATTCATTTCTTTAAATTTACTATGTTTAAATTTAAACATAATCTTATGAAGAAAAAAAATATTTTAAAGTTTTATTTTTTAAATCTTTTAATTATTAAGTAAAATAATTTTTTTCTTGACTTAAGGAAATGTTTAAATTTTTAAATTTTCGAAATTTCTTTCAAAATTAAAAAATGTCAGTTAAATAACTTATAAATTATATTTTTCAATTATTAATAAATTCCAATTTATAAATTAAATTAAAATCTATAAATTAAATTATGTTGTAACATAATTTAATTTATAGATTTAATTTAATTTATAAATTGGAATTTATAATACCATTACACCACGATAACAGTTTTTTTTTTTATAATAAATATCGGCATTAAATTTTTCAATTACTGATATTTTGGTGCATATATGTGTTTTATTAATTTAAAGCTAAATTTATGTAAATATTAAAACACATCTATATGCGTGTCATATTGCACTGTTGTAATTAAAATTACAATGATATGAAAAGTTGACAAATATAGAAAATTTAAATTTGTTGGTTGTTTTTTTCTATTTCTTGTTCTTGTTTTGTTTTAACTGTGTGAGCAAAAATTAAGTTAAAGATATTAAATCAGAAAAATTTTAAGAGTTTTTGATGCACAAATGAAAAATGGAGAGAAAAATTGATGCATAAATGTAAAATGGAGAGAAAAGTTAGTTAAAGAAATTAGATCAGAAACATTTTAAGAAACTGTTGATGCATAAATGGAAAGTTTTACTTGAAGTAAAAGTTTTGATATTTTGGACTTTTCCAAATCAGTGAAAGTTTACCAGTAGACAAATGTCAATATTTCAAGTGACATATTGAGTCAGTATGTTTTGTTGTTTGAGAAGAACATTGTTTAACAATGGCAGTAAAACAGTTTTGCAGATAATATTTAAATTAGTAGCAATTTTTTTATAAAAAATAATTAAGTCAAGGTAGAAACTATAGCTCAAAGTTTTTTAAAATTGCCTTGCATTCCAATATCAATGAACACAAAAACTTTGATTAATAAACAGCTCATAGAAAAAAGTTCTCAATTTTGAGGTTAGTAAAGTTGAAAAGAGTTATATGAAGCCATTTATAAATATTTTAGTATAAAGTCATCAGGAAATTACCAGAGCTCTTTAGCAATTTAGTCAAAATAGTCAAGTGCCTAAAAAAGAAAATTAGGCTATTTAAAGATGAAGGTGTTTAAGACAAACATATTCAACAGATTTATGATCTTCTATTGATGATTCGACAAAAAGCGTTGAATCAGAAATAGATTTTACTGGTGGTGGTGGTGTAATTTTAATAAATTTGCTATGCATAATTGTATTTCTATAATACCGAAATGCCAGTATTGATTTTCTGTCCAGTATTACATACCCCATTCATATTGTGTAACAACATTTTTTGTTGTTGTTATTTAGTAATGATAAGTTAAATAATAATAAACTTTATATACTTTACTAAATTTAGAACTTGATATACTACATAAAGTCATTTTATACTAAGTAACAAAATAAATAGTAAGCATTATTATACTAAGCAACAAAATAAATCAATATATAGATATTGTTTATAATTTAAACAATTTTGGTTAAAAAATCAACAATCACAATACAAAACAAACATAACTTAATACAAAACAAGCAACTAAAATGAAAAAAAAAAACAATCACAAATCAAAACAAACAACACAAATCAAAACTAGAATTTGCAACAACATAACACACATACCTACCAAAATATGAAAAATTCATATTGGGTGCATATCTAGATTTAACATAGACAGTTTGTGAAAGAGTTTGAATTATTTGACCTTAAATGTCAAATAATTCAAAATATTTAAATAATAACCAAGTTTTAAAACAATGTTGGTACAAAATAACCTGGTCAGATGGATATTACTTTAGATCATTTATTTGCCAGTTTGGGCAACGCTAATTTGAAAATAAACACATTCATTTTGGAGCACAAGTATCAAAAAGAAATGCTTGTCTTTAAAGTTCGTTTATTTGTATATGCTTTAAAATTGATTAAAGTACTTAGATGGTTTATTTACCTATTTGTTTTTTAATTTTAGCATATAGCAATAAGTATTTTTATCTTGTATTTATATTACCTGGATTAACATCTATTTTATGCAAATAATATTTTGAACAATAGTTTAAATATTATTTGTATTTGGGGTAGCTGTGCGAGCTTCTCCTCATTTAAATTGAGGTTTAATTTTTTTTTTTTTTTTTCAACAACTGTGTCTTTTAAAAAGCATTGCAGTATATTATGCAATTAATTTTTTTTTAAATGACATTGTGTTTTTTTTATTTTAATTACAATGATAATTATACTTTTAAAAGGAAAATTATACTTTTTGCAAGAGCTGTAAATTGCTCCTGTAAATTGTTTTAGGGAGTGTGGGCGAGAGCAAGAGCTAAAGTTCTTGCTTCTCGCCGAGGCCTGATACAGTATTGTTTTTTTTGTCCTACAATTTTTTACAACCACTATATAATTTTATTATTTATTTGTCTTTTAAAACACTTAAAGTTATTTATCATTTATCATGTTAGGAGTTGCGTGAAAAGAATTGGAAAGCCATGGATGCTCTTGGGAAATATGAAGAGGAATCGAAAAAAAAAATTTCTAAAATAGAACAGAGCTTAAAGAAAAGTTTAAAAAAACTGCATCCAAATGTCAATATACCTTCTCTAGATGATAATATAGAAGATTTTTTTTCTAATTATGAAAAGTCTTATTTTGAAAAATCTCTATCTGAGCATGCAGAAACTGTAGAGGAATTAAAACAAGCAAGAACAGAAAATAACACCCTTGTTCAACAATTGTCTGATTTAAAGGTAATTTTTAGTTTGATCTTTTTTGAATATACATTTAAGTATTTCGAGATTGATTGTCTAAAAAGTGTAATTTATTCTTCGCTTTTTTTTAGATGATGCAAAATGAGGTATACATTAATTTTTTTCTTCTAATAAATTAAAGATTTATCACACTTGTATATGTATTTATTTGCTTATTTTATTAAAATAGTTTAAACTTTTGTTAGGGAAATGAGGATTATCAAAAATGCAAATCAGAAAATATTCATTTACGCAATGTTTTAGCAGAAACAGAGACAATGTTAAGTCGTTTACAGGAGAGTGTAGATTCTGAAGTTGGTAAATGGCAAAAAATAGTTGATTTAAAAGATGTTGAATTAAATGAAATGCAAGTCAAATTTAAAACAATGGAGGAAAGTAATAAATCACCACAGGTATTCTTTTATAAGAAATTTAATGTAAAATAATAATCAGTGCCGTACTGAGAAGTAATTCCATACCGTTTGACCAGTATGGGCGCCCAAACTAATGCGCCAAAATAAATATTTTTTACAAATATTAATTTAATGTAAATAAACGCAGCATAAACAATATCACAAAGCAATTTAAATATTCAAAATGATTAAATATTTTGTTGCATACTTTATAATGCGTAATTTATAATGCTTTGAAATTAAATATTTATAACTTCATTAATTCTCCTGAGGATGGGAGGGGGGGGAGGAGGATTTAATTTTTTTTTTTAGGACTTGTACCGCCTAAACTATTGTTGGGTACAGCACTGATAATGTAATTTTATATAAAATAAAAGTTGTTTTATTAAACTAGAAAATAGAAAGTAAAAACTTTAAAACTTTTTGATAATTATATATGTAGAACGTTGTAATAAAAATAAGTTTCTTTTTTCTTTACTGTAGGAAGTTTTATATTCATATTTATATTCTTTTTAAAAATGTAATGTTAATGTTCAGAAATTGTTTTTAGTTGAGTTAGTTAAAAATTCTCAGTTTTCTTTAATTAGGGTGTGACAAATCAATTAACGTGCAAACGTTTATTAAAAAAAGACAGAAAAAGGAACATCAGATTTTTTTACTTTTACTTTTTTTTTTTTAATTTTTTAAAATGAGTTATTTGAAAATAAAACTCTTATTTCACATATATCTCTTAAATTAGACTTTCGTCAATAATATACAAATGTTAACGTTATATACTAATGTTTACGTTTAAAAAATACATGATTTGTCATGCCCTGTTAAATAAAAATAATTTTTTTATTTTTTTTTTTAATTTTAATAAAGATAATTTTTGTTTCATGTTGTATCTAAATATAAATTATTTAAATTACGGTTTTAAAATTAAGTTTTTCATGACTATTTAGCTTCAACTTCAACTTAATGATGCTAATATACAGTTAGACCTTCAAAAGAAAGAAGTTAAAAAACTTTGTGAAGAACTAGAAAAGGAAAAAAAAGAGTTAGTAAAACTTCAAGAAATATTAAACCATGAGAAGAAAGAAGTCTTAAAATCGCATGAGGAGTTAGATCATGAGAAGAAACAAGTTGTTAAACTTCACGAAGAACTAGATTATGAGAAAAAAATAATTATAAAACTAAACGAGGAATTAGGCCATGAAAAGAAAGAAGTTATAAAACTTCACGAAGAATTAGACCGCGAGAAAAAAGAAGTTGTAAGACTCCATGAAGAATTGAAAGCTGTATCTATTTTTTTTAATTAAAAATTTTTTTTTTTTTTTTTTTGCAAACTTTTATTTCTAAATACTTTTGTTATACAATTATTTTTACATTATATTTTATAATTTATTTATTTAGTTATTAATTTTATTTATTTTATTAATATTTATTAATTAATTTAATTATTAAGTATTAATTATTGATATTTTTTCAAATATAGGTTCAAAATAAATTAGAAGTTTCAAGTAAAGCAGAAGAGGTAATTTTTTGAATTTTAAATAATGAATATTTAAAAAGTTTAAACCGTTTTTCAACAGACAGTAAACTAAAAAATATATTTCAATAGTAGAACTAAAGAAATGGTTAAAATATAATGAAAAGAAAACATGTTTAAATACATGGCCACTATCAGTTTGCAATGATGAAAGTAGAACTAAAGAAATTTGCAAAAAATTGATTTAGACATCAATTTTTTGCAAATTTCATCAAATCTTTTAATTTTTGAAACCTTTTATTAGAAAGCTTTTTTTAACCCAAGCTCCAGAAAAACTAATAAAAAAAGCTGTTTTTCAAAATAGACATTCTGAGTTTTAATTTTTAAAGGTGTTTACATTTTTGTTTTAGCCTTTGCTAAAAAAAAAAAAAAAAAAAAAGAAAATGGCCAGATTAATCAAGTTTTTATTTTTTCAAAGTATTTAACTTCTCAAAAAAAAATTTAAATCAAAATTTAAATTTTGTAGCATGCGTTGAATGAAGATTTTGAAGATGGGCTTTTTATTTGTTTGGTGTCAGATTGTCATTTCCAAGAATTTTGTTACAAATGAGACATTTTTTCATCTCTATTAATCAATTATAAAACCAAAACTAACCTAACCTTAACATTCTCTTTTTAGATGCTGTTTTAAAACCAAAGTAGATGACATAAGTCAGAAAAATAAGTATCAGAACAAAACACTTAATTATAAAAAAAAAAATTTTACCGGGTTATTTCAGAAAAAAAACTTTATAATAAAAAACTATATGATTTTTTTGAAAGAAAATTTAATCAAGAATTCAACAAAGAAAAAATTACACTAATTTTATTTAATTGCTAAAAAGTTAACGATACATTCAAACTATGCAATTTTTTAGCATTAAAGTTTTTAGCATTAATTAAGTATCCAAATAAAATTTTAAAGAATAAAAGTTTATCCAAGTAATTTTTTTTTTTTTTTTTGACTTTTTAATATTGAGATGTACCACCTTTAGCTTTTATGAATTCTGCAAGTTAACATGGCATTGATTTAACTAATTTCATTGTATCTGGATTGATATGATTCCAACTTTAACTATGCTCCAGCATGATTTTTAGCTCTTGTTTTCTTGTTAGACATTGTCTACCACATTTTTGATCCAGAATAGCCCAGTGTGTTCAATTGGATTAAGATCTGGACTTTGACCTGTCCATTCAAGTAAACCAATCAGCTTCTGAATAAAAAATTCTTATAATAAAATGCTATCATAGTAAAATACATGGTTATATAATAATAAAAAAAAGTTTTTTGATCTTACTGCTTGCTAGTATTGTTGTTACCATATTAGAAACCAGTATGGTTTGGAAAAATCAGGAAGTTGCTTACTAGCAACTTTCCTGGTATTTTTTGGTTGCCAATTGCTAAGTAATTTCCAGTAGGAGTGTCCCGAATAAGATATCTGGCCAGATATCAGTATTATTCGGTATCCATTATCTGGTCAGATAATAACATTATCTGGAAGAAATTTGAGCTTGTAGCGAGGATCAATAATGGTAGGTAGAACATATCTTTCATCATTTGTTATATTATCATGAGAAAAGAATCTCTTATTTAAAGATTCTATAAGTTTTGTTATTTGAACTGCATCATCTTTTTGATCAATTTTTGATAAAAATCTTTGTAAAGTACATTTGTTTGGAACTACTGTTGATAAACTACAAAGTTCAGAACTCATAACATTAGTAAGTTCATAAAAAGGCTTTAAAACGTATAATAAATTTTCAATGATTTTCCAATCATTTGATGCAAATGTTGGCAATTCATTATGATCAGCTAAATACAAATGTATTTAGCTGATCATAATGAATGCTCATAATGAACTGCTCTTTTAAGTTTTTGAAGTTGCTCAAGCATTAAATACGCACTATTCCAGCGAGTAGGCACATCTTAAACCAAAAGTAGAGGTGTTTTCATTTTGTTGTTGTTGCAGTAACTTAAATTCTGTACATGCCTTTGATGAATAATTAAAATGGCCTACTATTCGACGTGCTTTAGCTAATAAATCTATCACTAATATTTTGGATAAAACTGCATCCTTAATCAGTAGCTGCAATAAGTGAATTGTGCAATGAACTGATGTTATTTGAATAAATTTACTGCCTAGTGACATATTAGCAGCACCATCTTTGACTAAAATATGTCTTTTTGGTGCATTAATTTCCCAGTTTTCTAACATATAAATTTTCCAGCTATGTTTATCCCTGTGTAAGCTTCTGGAAAATGTGAAGCATAGAGTACAGCATCTTTGCGCTCAAAATTTTTTTAATCCAATGTCCTGATAAGGAAATAAATGTTTCATGAGACTACATAAGTTTTACTTCAGATATTTGACAAGTCCAAATATCTGAAGTAAAACTTATGTACTGTGACTTTCATTTAGCAGAAGCAATTTCATTAAAAACCTCTTTTTAAATTTGATCATACAATTGAGGAATTGCTGTCTCCGAAAAAAAATGCCTACTTGGGATTAGGTATCTTGGTTGTAAAAAAGCCATTAAACCAATAAATCCATCATCCTTGGTTATACTAAATGGATGATTATCTAAAGCAATCATAATAGCAATTTTTCTATGAATTCGCTTAGACTTTTTTATCATTAATACCCCATATCTTCTTTGATATAAAACTATCTTCAACAGACATCTGTTTTTGCATTTCGCACTTCTTCTTTGAAATCAATGAGCTACATTTTGAACTTCCTTGAGCAGCTGAAGACTGTTCCATTTTATTTTTTATTTTTTCTTCATACAATTTGCAATGAAATTTTTTTGCATGATTATGCAGTGGAGTTGTAGAAAATGACTGTTGACCAGATTAACTACACTCCCTGTTTATCTGCTTTCCACATGGAATGCAAATAGCTATGGAATCACAGCTATCACTATTTTTATAAAGTTTCCAAACAAAACTCGCTATTTTGAAGGGTTATTGCGGTAACTTTTGTCTCAATGTAATATTTAAATTACATTATCCGTATCCGGCCGGATAATTGTTAAATATACGGGTATCCGATATCTGGCCAGATAATTAAAAAATGTTATTCGGGACACCCCTTATTGCCAATAAGCAACTGGCATCTGAAAAATATTTAAGTTTTTCAAAGGTTTTTTTTTAAAGTATTTATCAAGGGATAAATTTTTTTTTTCATTTCTTAGTTATATCATTGTAATTAATTTAAGTAAATTTTACTTAATTTTCTATCTTTGTTATTATTATAAATTTTTAAATTAGTATTATTTTTAAAATTATTATTAATATTGTGAATATTTTCAAAGTAATTGGTCTAACTTTTCTTTAAAAAACTATTTTGTTATTTAAAAAGATGATTGTTTCAAATTTAGCATGAACTTCAACTTAATGAGGCTAATGTACAGTTAGACCATGAGAAGAAGGTAGTCATTAAACTTCAGGAACAGTTAGAGTTAGAGAAGAAAGAAGTTGTCAAACTTCATGAAGAATTAAATACAGTAAGTTAATGTTCTCAGTTTTCTTATTTGTTTTATGCATTTTAGTTATGTAATTTTCTATATTTTCAAATTGTAGGCCACACAAAAATTAGAAGTTTCTGCTAAAGCAGCTAATGAGGTACTTAATATTAAAACTTATATTAAATTTTATATTAAAATGTAAATGTTTTTATTCAACATTTCAAATTATCTATTAATTTTTTTTTTACAGTTAGAAGAAAAACTAAAAAGTCATGTTTCTAAGGTAACAATTTTATTTTGTTTTATATTACTTTTATGTGTTATTAATATTTAAAATGTTTTAAATATTTTACTTCTTCACTTTTTCTTAAAATTTTTATGCTCATAGTTTATTAATGTTTTACTGCTTAAATTTTTTTTAATGTTTATCTCAAATTTCTACTTTTTTCTAATTTAATTTTTTCTTTGTCTTTAATTTTTTTTATTTATTTTGCATGTGAGTCTTATATTTCACTGTATCCTATCATGTCAATTTTAGATGTTTTTTTTTTTGACTTTTAAGGTTAGTTTAATGATTCCATTGTAGAATAAAAAAGTTTTTTTGAGTTCATTAGATGAATCAATTTTAAAAAAATGTCACAATAAGTTGGTTTTTTTTTATCATTTTTTAATTTTTAGTTTAATTTAAGCTTTAAATTTTTTTTTTTTTTTTTTTCAAATTTAGTAATGTCAATCCTAATAGCAACATCTCACTATAGATACCTTCTGATCCAGCAAAGAGTCTAAGGGATTATACATAAGTAAACTCCCACAAAATAAACCTAATGAACTCAAATTATTTTAAAATTAAACAACTCTATCCTTTTCTTTAAAAATTTGAAAACCATTATAATAAAACCCTTCAATAAATGTATATATGTTATTATAGATATATGTTGATATATATTGATATAGTAGATATATGTTAATAAATAAAGTATTGCATTTCTCTTATATACATAAATATTTTAAAATATTTTCTATAGGAAAATACCTCTGAGTTAGATGAGTTAAACACAAAACTTAAAAAAACGATTTCAGAGCGTGATTTGTTAATTCGTGAATTCAAAACACTTAAAGAAAAATATGCGCAACAAGAAAAAGATGTCTCTAAATTTGAAACTGATATTAAGTCTTTAAAAGATCAGCATGCTGCTGAATTAAAGAAACTGCAAGATCAAGTTGTTGTGCTTACAGGTTCAGCTTCATCTAAGGGAAAAGGTGACAAAGAAAAAGATGTTCTTATTGGAGTAAGTATATTAGGCTTTATAAGATGTAGATAAGTTTTCTTAGTTGTGATGTGACTTGCTTAGGTGAAATAAAACTGATAAAATCACCAATTGAATTGTGGGTAAGAGTAAGAAGAGCTTGTTTTGAATGGTTGTCTTTCCTGTGTTAGTGCTTCAACTTTTCCATAAATTAAATATTTAAATAAGAAAATGGTATTAGGAAGCCTGTCCAAACCTCCCAATAGTGGAAACACATTCGTTAAACTTTAATAAAAATTTTCTAATCATTTTTCCTTATAGTATAGCACATTAGCTTCTGCTCTTCTGACAAAAGTAAATTTAGGTTTACTGTAGTTTTTTTTTTAGTTGCTTTAACTGTTATTTGGTGATTGTATTGTTTTGAAGCAGGTTTTAAAATCTAAACTTAAAATTTTAAAGAATAATTGATTTAACTCTATATCATGTAGAAAAAAAAAGATAAAGTATCAATCACTTTTCTTTAGACTAAAGGTGTTTTATTTTTTCAAGTTTAATTTTAACAATAATGGTTAAAAGTGGACTTTAAAATGTATGAAATTACCATTTAGGTTTTTTTTTTAATTATTGAAACATTTAATTACACTGACCATTTTAGATAAGAAAACATTGAATTTTTTTATTTAATTCTAAATAATATTTAATCCAAGTAGTGATTTCGCCAGTTATCCGGTTTTGCGGTTAACTGGATTTTGTTCGAATATCAAATATCTATTTTCGAATAATAAAAACTGATTTGAAAGTTTTACGAAATTTTATAGAAAGTAACATCGTAATTATGACGATTATTGTTTGACAAATGTCAATTTATCAAAGATTATAATATATTTCTTTTATTAATATAAATGTTAATTTAATCAGTTTTGTTTGATAATATATTCTTAAAACAATTTACTATAGAAATCTCAAAGATTTATTTATTACTTTTACAATTCAAGCAATACATTTTTAAGAAAGTTTCTTCAGAATATTCTGGAACTCTAATTTGCTTATTCAGGGTATTTTTTGAACCAATAGAATTTGTTTATTTGTAGATTTGGCGGTATTTTAGTGTTAGCAAATATTCTTTATATTATCTTTCCGCAACAAGTTGTTTTGAGAACATTCAAGTTTATCTGTTTCCATCTATGTCCACATAACAATGAGTTTTTAAAATACACGCTAAAAAAATTTACTTCATAACATCTCATTTTTTCCAAATCAAATGTTTTAATATGAAAGAATGATTTTAAAATATCTGCTGATATTAAAACTAGTAAACGACCGGGGCTGGTATTTGATCTAAGCCAAAGCCGGGTTTATGGTTGGGGCTGTATAAATATTGGCACATATTGATATGATATTCAAAAACAAGTCAATATGCACCAGTGTTTATGCAGTCCCGTCCGTAGAGCCGGCCTTAGCTACTGTCAAATACCAGCCCCAGTCGTTTACTAACTAAAACATTTAAACTATACTTGTACATTATTCCTACTTTTTTAATTATATAATTAAAAAAGTATATTATAATATAAAAAATATATATATCTTTTTCCATGTTTTGTTATAAATATATAATATAGGACTGTATTCACTGTCTTGAAAATGTATACTTTAACATTAATTTTTAAAAAATTAGTTTAAAACGCTACGTTTGTTGAAATTTAAAAGATCCTGTATTCAGAAAGCGTCACTAATTTACCGAATAGTCAGTTGACCGCAAATTGATGAGAACTGTTATCCGGTTTTTGAAATGGATAACCGGCGAAATCAACAAATCCAATGTATTTAACAAAAAAAGATATTGTATAAATATGAAATGAGACGAAATTGCATTAAAAAAATTTTTGTTTATAGTTTGAATTTTAAAAAAATTATATTTTAACTCTAGGTTTTGTTACAGATGCTTTTTGTTATTTTCTTGTTGTTAATCTTTTACTATAGGTTTGAGTATTTTAGATACCATTAAAACTTCTAAAGATGTGTTTGTGTGTGTGCGCGCGTGTATGTATATATATATATACACACACACAGCACACAAAATAATAAGAGGTCAATGGTCAACAACCGTTTGTAATGATCAAATTGCTGTTTTGACCTCCCAAAATGAGTTTTTTTCTGGTCAAAGTTGACTGTTAAATAAAAAAAAGACTGTAATATTTGAAAAATCGTTTAAAAACTTTTTTTTGTCGTTAATGTTAAGCTACTTTTAATTCACTTCATTGACGCATATTTTATATGGTGTAAGCTATAAGCTAACTTTTTACAGATGGTTGCCTTTTTAAATAATTGATTAAAATATTTATTTTATTCTTAATTTACTAAATTTTTTCTGTTAGTTAACATTTTTTGAATTTTTTTTTTTTTTTTCTTGTTCAATTTTTTATTAAACTTTTTTTTATTATATCTTATTAAAACACCTAATAAAATTTTGCCACCATTTGTGAAGTCATTGCAATTAATAAACTTTATTAACCTGTTTAGCAGTTTAAATAACGATAGCACTTTTTTTATTTTATTGAGTTATCAAGAAAATGATCTGCATTAGTAATTTTTAAAAATGTTTTTTTTCATTGTAAAGCATTAGGGAATAATAAATTAGAAAAATCTTTTTAAATTAAAATTTTCTTATGTTTAATTATTAATTTTATAAAAAAATTTAAACAATTTAATTTGAAGTTAAGTGTTCAAAAATATTAAACATCTAAAATTACTTAGATGTTGACAAACCTCCCTTTTAATCAAAATTCCGTTTTTAATCTGTGCACGAGATCTATTTCACAATAACTTTATTTCAACCTGTTAAGGCCGCACACTACTAACAAGCAATAAAAAATTGAAATAATGCAAAAATTAATATTTTTCTGATGAGAAATTTATTTAAAAAGAAATCTGAAATGAAATTTTTTTCCAAAATATTTTTTCCATCCATAATGGTAGAAAAACTAATCTTAAAAATGCCTAAAATTAAAATAACTTTTTGGCGTTATATCTTTTCCTTATATAAATTTTCTCTCGTTCAAATTTTGTAGATTGATAGATCATGTTTTATTCCGGCTGACAGATGGATTTTTTAATTTAAGGACTTTTCTTAACCTAATCAGGAATTGTTGAAAATATGCTTAAAACACTAAGTGATTTGACTTGACATCTGTTAATTGAATTTCTGTGATATACTAAATAAACCCTGAAAATTTTAGTTAAAAATCATTAGCCAATATAAAGATATTAGGTTTCAAAGTTACCCTAGTATTACAAAAATCAAAAGTTGTAAAAAATACATTTAATGTTTTTTAAAAGTAAAATCTTTTCAAGGTTAGTTTTCATGTATTTAAAATGGTTGGGTGACAGTAGCAAGATGGTCACGTGACTATATACGTATATACACACAGAGTCTTCTCCGTTTGAAATTTACCACCAGCACATGAAAAGCGCTGGCTGGACAGCAATTATTTGTCTGGCGTGTGCAATTTTAAAAAATATTTGTTTTTTGTACCTCTTTAATTAGAATTTGAATGAGAAAAATGATTTAAAAATATGCTTGAAATTTTTCGGAGAGCGCTTAAAAAGTGCCAGCTGTAGTATTGGCGGGCTTGTGGGCGAGCGCAAAACTGCAAGAGCGCGAAAGGGCTTGTTAAATGGAGAAGATTGCACACAGATATATATATATATATATATATATATATATATATATATATATATATATATATATATATATATATATATATATATATATATATATATATATATATATATATGTATATATGTATATATGTATATATACATACCCAAAACTGAAAAGTGAAATACTGCAAAGTTTTTCCTGAGAAGGCTTGTTTATATATACATGCATACATATATAAATGCAGCATTAGACGCACACTGATGATATAATACTAAAAAAGAGGTAACTGCTGAGGCAGCTACCCTTTAAATACAATAACTATCTTAAAGCCTGCTGCTGGTAGGAGTGCTTCTACATCAACTTGTCAAAAATGTTCAGTACAAAAAATACATTTTATCATCAAGCTAAAGTTTTGGCACTTAACCCGGATTTTATATATTTAAACTTCAAATTAGTGTTTAGACTTTAAGTTAGTGGAATTTTCTAAATTTAATATTTTTCCCTACTTATTAAAAAAAAAAAAAAAATTATAAATTGCATAGAATAATTATAAATTTCATAAAAGATTTAGTCAATTTTAAAAAGTTTAGGATCTTAATAAGAATATAAAATTAGCCTAATAGCTAATTTTAACTCTTGCCAGTTTTTTGGAAAAAGTAATTTTATTGCCTTGTACCAATATTAACAACATTTTGATTAAAATATGCAACTATTTATTTACTACTTTTTAGCAATTTAGGTATTTTTTAAATTACCATGTATTTTATTTTAAGTACAAATGGGGTGTTAGCATTATTTAGTTTAAAATTTCAATAAATAAAATGTTCTCAAAAACTAAAAAAATATTTGAAGAAATTTTTGAAAAAGCAGAAAATTTGACAGTAGAATAATGAAACTTACTTAAATAATGAAATAGAATATCTAAAAAAAAAAATACTGTGTGATCATTTAGTTTGACCTGGTCACTCTTCGATTGATATGGTGACAACCAATACTAATGTTATAATATCCCATCTAAACTTAACATATTTTCTTTAAAAGTTTTTTAAAATAATGTTGCAAAGATGTTTGTTTTTGTTAGAATTGGTTGCATCATTATTAAATCTTTTTTCATAATATTTTATAACTTTTTTCAGAAACTTTACTTGGAGATACAAAATTTAAAAGAAGATTTGCAAGATGCTCGTGACCAAGTAATTGTTGATATGGAACCTGCAGGCTCTGAGGTGGTTTTTTATAATTATTTTTTACAGTTTTTTTGTTGTTTTTGTTCACATAACTATTCACATATCACTCAAATCAATTGTTAAAGCTGATCATATTTTTATGGGCATATGCTTTTTCATGATTTTTGATATTTGTTTTTTGTTTGTTAGCTCTGCCTAACATGTTGAGTTAAAAGTGTTGCAAACCTTGTGAATTTGATGTTGTATAGCATACTAGAAGTTCTACTTCTAAAAATAGTGCTAAATTCTAATTCTAAGAATTTGTTAAGTTTTTTGGCATAACTACCTAAATTCAAACAATTTTAGTGGAAAAGCTGTTGTTTGATTCAAAAGTTTAAACTTGATGTGCCTATTACAGTAAAAACAAAACTAATATAAGTGTTATACAAATCAAATATAAGTAAATAAGTAAATTTAAAAATAATCCTGACATGTTCTGAAACAAGTTCTGCTAGTAAAATCTTAAAACTGATAATACTATTTAAATATAGTTAAAAATAATGCAAATAAATTTGATTTTACAGTAAATTGATTGGTATTGCAATTCGGGTCATCGTGAGAACTTGCATTTTATTTTTATAAACGATTAATAATTTGAAATAGTAAATTCTTATAATAAATGAGATGTATATAACTGATTGCACGACATCATGTTTATCATTTAATTTCTCATCTGGTATATTTGTTTTAATTTAAATAATTGTGTGGTATTACTTCTGTATTTTAATTTCTCATCTGTTATTGTTATTACTATTTTCTCTATCGTGATTAAAAAGAAAGAAAAGATTTTGTTTTACATTTATTTTTATATTAAATTATTACAAATAATTAAATTATGTTAAACAGTGTGTAAGCGGCGGACAAAAAGGAAAGGGGACAGTATTCGGGGTTACTACCCACCCACCCCCCATCCCCTACCTAAGAAATGTCAAACTTCAAAATATTGATAAAATCAAAAAAAAAAATAAGGAAAAAAACAAAAAGTTGTAATTCAACATTTTATTATTTTTCTCAAAAAAAATAAATTAATAAAAGTATTTATAGAGCCATTTAATATATTTATTAGCAAACTGGTGGCTGCATTTTTTATTGAATTAATTAATATTTCAACTATATTGGCAAAATGCCCAAGCTGCACGACCCCTAATTTTTTTTTTAATAATTTTTTTAGCCTGTAATACGTTACCTAGTAAGTAACAACATTAAAAGTTCCTGAATGAATTTTGAAAAACTGACCGGTAATATTTATTAAAATATTGAAAAATAGGCGCGTTAATTACATCTTACACAAATTACGTATCTGTACTACCTCTAAATTAATTGTACCAAAGTTATTTTTAAAAATACATGCGGGGATGGGTCACCCTAAAACTCAGTCAATTAATGGTTCTACTAGATGTTCGAATTAGATAAATATTTGATTAAGTGCTTAACAACCAAGATAAATTTTTAGGTTTTACGTTTTTATTTATTTATTAGGATTTGCATAAACAAGTAGATACATTAGCTGTTGAACTTCAATCTGAAAAGAAATCTAAACTTGAGTTAAGTATGAAGCTTGAAGATTTAGAAAGATCATTTCAAGGGGAACAATCAGACAAAGAAAAAGTAAGTCTTTAAAAAAAAGTTTAATTTTTTGTTTTAATATAATTTTTGCAAAAAGTGTTTTGTTAAATAAAATACTTTTATTATTTCTTTTTTCCTATGATCATTTCATCAGCTGCTCGTCGTTGAATCAAAGCTAAAAGCTGCAGAAGCAAGAATTAAGGTATTTACTTTTTTTGTATTCAGTTTACTTTTCTTTGAAAATGAAACTGAAACTCTTTATATACGCATATCAAAAAATTTATTTAGGAATTAGAAGCAGTTCAAGAAAAACAGGTAGAGAAACAAATTGCGGACGCTATGAAACACGTGAGTTGATGACTATAAGACAGTACTGAAAATAAGGGTCTGACCAAAAAATTGCAATTTTTTTAAAGAAAATAAAACTTTATTTTCGATGAAAATTTTTGTTTCGAATTTTAAAAGGGAATCTTTACCTACATCTGTATTGTGAGTACTGTTTGCTTACCTTCTCAGTAAGCAAACAAACTTAGCTAAGAACTTGAACGGTACTTTGTAGGCAAAATAACGAGATTTGAAGTTTTTATCTAAAATCCACATTTAAATGTTTGAAAATTTTACTCCACCGTGAAAATATTACTCCGCCGTGAAAATCCGAACCACACTAACTTATTATTATTAAAAGTTATTTTGGAGTGTTTTTTGAATGTAACATTTGCTCAGCACAGTTTCGTATAATATAGGGTATAAAATATATACTATTTTTGAAATATTTTTTTATTATTAGCTTGTAAAGTTAAAACGTTGAAACGATTTTTTAAGTTACTGTCTTTCTGCTTTTCACGGCAGTTGTCATGTAAGAAACGCTTATACTTTATAAAAATCTATTCAAAATAGTTTAATTCTAAGGATGTAGAAATGAGTAAAATGGGGCCAAATGAAATAGTTAAAAGTTTGGTTTTTTTTTTTTAAGGTTGTAGAGTATTAAAATGTTTTTTGGTCTATTACAAGTGTTTAAAAAAGTTATTGCATTTAAAATAATACTTAATAAAAACCAATGATAACAATTAAAAAAAAACAAGCAACTAATATTTTTTTTATTCTTATGATGATGTTGATTCGATTTATTATATATATATATATATATATATATATATATATATATATATATATATATATATATATATATATATATATATATATATATATACATATATATATATATATATATATATATATATATATATATATATATATCGGTTAATTTAAGTTGTCGCATACGTGTCGCTTTTAAGTGAAATAAAACTCGGTGAATTTTTTACATGTCGTTTTGTTATGCATGTTTGACAGCCAAACCTTGCATTTTGAATATTCGCACTGATACCTCCACTATTTTGACTTGTTAAAGCTTTGTCTAAAATATTTTCACTTGACTTCGTTTAGTACGATTGTTGTTGGTAGAGTCGCTGCTTCATTATTTACTTGCTGCTTATCATCGAAGTTAAACTTACGAACGAAGTTAAAGGTTTTTTAACTTGATTTACTGCTTAATTGTGTTGTTAGCATCTTTCAATCTCTCGAGTGTTGTGAGCTTATTTTTCTTTTCTGTTAACGTGTTGGAAGAGAAACATTTGTTACTATTGTACTGGAAGCAATTAGATCGATTGAGATTGTTTTAAAACTTCCTTTTGATTTTCTTTTTGAATAACCAGAGTTACTACAATGTTAAAGTCTGGTTGCAGGCAAGTTTATTTTAAAGCTAATGTCATACTAAGTATGCTGATACTAGATTGGTGTAGATTCAGAAGGCGTTGAATGAGATGGTGTAGTTAGTGGTGATGGTAGTTGTGATACTGACAGATTCTGGTGGTCGAGATAATTAAAGTTCATGCTTAGACAATGATGTTAAAAACATTAGCAATTTGCAATTTTAACTGATCGATTTTGACATTGAGTGGAAATATCAGTATTTTGAAATCCTGATACTATTTGCATTCATGTAAAAACATCTCCAGAGCTGAAAGGTTTTGCTTGCTGTAAACTAAGGCATTCTTTTGATAAATTGCTTATTTTTGACTCTGCATAAAACTATTGAAATAATTTGCACCAAATTCTTGACAAGGCAATAAACAACAATTGCGGAATGTGTGACAAATTAGCTGGTAAGCAAATTACCAAAATGTTAATTGATTGTAATAAGTACCTGACTGAATTACAATGACTAAAATAAACTAAAAGAGTTCATTTGAGATTATTATTTAATAAGCGGCCCTATTTACCAAGTTAGATAAAAGCGCATTTCATTGAACTATGGTGTTCAATAAAATACGTTTTCACGGTTTCCGTTTTTAATTCAACTTTTTACAGGAAAAGGTTTAATTTTGAAAAAAGATTTTTAACACATGTTAGTTATGCGTTTCGCTGATTACTTATTTAAGAAAGAAGTTATAAAGCTACCGAAAAACTAATCAAAAAAATTATTTTTTTTATTAAAATTTTATATTCAGAAAAAGATTCAACTACAACGCGATTGAAAACTAAATTGAATTCTTAATAAAATAATTAAAAGCAGAAATAAAAAAATTGTCATAACTATTTCATTCTGCCCTATTTTACTCTATGCTGCGATAGTCAATAGAATATCATTCATATTTAACACTTTCGTTTAGGAAGTAAACGATGTAAGAAAACCTTTATGAACTCCATAACTAGAATATTTGTATACAAATGAATAAGCCGAACGAAGCAGAAACAATTTTTACTATTTTATACCAAAACATTTGTATAATTTTGTTACGCTACTTTAATTTCTCTGGTGTCCGGTCGTTTGGACTGCTGTACAGGTGCCAAATGAAGATCTTGTTCTATATTTATTTGTTAATATTGTTTTTGAGTTGAATATAAAAAAGATCTTGGTTGCATATTTCTATTTGGAAATTTAATATTTTCTAGATTGTTCCGATACCTAATTTTTTCATAAATAGTTTTACAATGTGAAAATGTTTTATTGTTAATATAATGACTTATTTTTTTATGTCTTTTTTTTTTTTTTTTTTTTTTTTTTCTACTGGTGGTTTGTCTATTTGATGAATTTTTGCATGAATGTTGAGATATCATTAATAGACCTATATCGTTGTTTTAAGTCAATTTATTTCCGCTGTTAAATTTACTTGTGTCATAATAAATTTATTTTATATTGATTTGTTTTTTTGTTGTTATTGCTAATATAGAATAGGCTTTCGAAAATTTTTTAATAAGTGAAAATCGCTTTAATATAATAAACATATTGACCAACAAACCATTAGGTATTTGTTATAAATATATTTTTAATGTTTGCGCTGATTAGTAAGTTCTGAAAAAAATGTTATTAGGGTTTTACCTAATAGACATTTCCAAAATTATAAAGATACAAAAGATTTTATATACTAAAGATACAAAAGATATTTATAAACTAATATCATCTGTGGATGACCTCAATAAGTCAATAACTCCAGCTGGTAAGTTTTTTGTTTTGGTGTGACTTCCTGCTGTCTTTCTCAGAGATGCAATAAATGGATCAGATATACACAGAAGTCGATTTAACAAATCTTGATTAGTTTTCACACGAGATGATTTTCTTGCAAAATGTTCACGATAGTTTATTACGTCCTTCTTGAGCTTCTTCAGATTACATACCAATGGGTAATGCTAAACTTTTGATAATTTCAGAACCATTTTTGCGTTTTAGAACCTTTATTGCGTCCTTCTTGAGCTTCTTCAGAATACATACCAATGGGTAATGCTAAACTTGTGATAATTTCAGAACCATGGATTAAAATTTTGTGGGGAGATTGTGGCATATAGTACCAAGGATAATAATGAACATAAAGTCGAGCTGTTTTTAAACAGAAAACCTCAAATTTATCAGTGTCAATTTCTAAACCACATGAAATTGTTGCCAATATAATATGCAAATTTAGAATCTGTTCAACATCAATATTTAAATTTCTGCAAACTTTTCCGCATTTTGAAATGTTCTTCGAGCCGTATTTCCATCATTTGATGTTCCACTACCACCAGATTTCGGAACATCAACTATTAAACCCATTTCATCTTTAAATCTATTTTGAATTTGTTGTTTTCAGAGCCTTTACTTTAGATTTATCTTCTGCTGTTCATGCCTGCCACTTTTTCAAAGTTATTTTGAATATATATTCATATTTTATTAACAGCATAAAATGCAAACGGCATAATAGTTATACAGAAATATATACATTTTATAAAAGCCGGATGTTTAAGCTATAAAATGGTATATAACAATGTCATTTTTGAGAATATTTTTTTTATACTTTTTTCCACCACCTGGCCCACTGTGTAATATGAGCATACCAAAAGTAGTGTGGTAATAATAGACTTAATGTGGTAATAATAATCAGCGTAAATTTATACGCGTACGTTTTGGTGACGTCAAATTGTTTGTTTGTCCGAATATCATTCCCACAACCACAAGCGTTTTTCAGAAATTCTTTTGTTTCTGAGCAATGTTTGTCCGATTATCAATCCCAAAATGCCTTAGATTTCTGAAAAAAGTTTTATTTTTAGAACACAAACGTTCAACTTTTTATGTTGTTTATAAATATTTATATTATTATAAATATTTTCATAACACATGAAGAAATTTGTGGCGCGAAAATTTAATTTTGAAATATAAATATTTGTTTTTTCATAACGAAAAATATTATCATAGAATTATCTATTTATCTCGTGTAAAGCGTCAAAGAACAATTTATTTTTGACGTGTAAAACGAGCATATTCAAATTACCCGATGAAAACACATATCTTAAAAGCCTTAAAATTGCTTAGTTGCGTTTTTTTGTGTGTGTGTTAGGTTGTGAAATTATTATATTTATGTTTAAGGTACACGAGTTTTCAATTTAGGAAATCTGATCCTCTCCATCATGGCTATTAATATTTTAACGTGCAACATTAACGGTCTAAACAACCAAGATAAATTTTTCGGGTTTCTCAAAAAGTCTACCTTCGATCTTATCCTCCTTCAGGAAACAAAATCCGGACTTTCCACTCTTAAACAGTGGAGTGACGAATGGACTGGCGAGTCTATTTGGAACTCCGGTCGGAGTCATAACTGTTGCGGGGTGGCGGTCCTCTCTAAATCCAACGTTTCTCTAAATGAACTAAAAAGGGACAATAACGGAAGAATATTAAACGTCATGATAAAAATTGATGAACACGAAATGCAGGGGCTGAATATTTACGCTCCTAATGTGCCAAGAGAAAAGCGCCGTTTTTTCGGCGACCTTGGTGAATTCTACTTATTAAGTTTACATTTATCCTGAAAATACAATAGATTATATTGATCCTTTGTTAGTTTCTTCATTGTGAACAAGCAGCAGTGTTCCTTATTATATTATAACTGAAGTAATTGTTTCTGTTAACAATATTTCATAATCATTAGTTTCCTATATTGCAGCACTCAAAATAGTTTTTCAAAGCTTGATAATCAAATGTAGTTATTTCACAAAAACAGGTTATTTTTCCTTGAACTTTTCAAAATTTCCTTAAACATTGCCAATCATTGATTGGCTGTTATTTCGAGCGATGATATTGGTAATGCTGCTTTATCGGTTTTAAATAACATTGGAGCAGATTCAAATCTATTATTGTTTAAGAGTAAGTTTGAAAGTAGTGTTATACATTGCAATGAGCCACTCAAGTTTCTTGACACATTATATAAACGAGATAAACACTTAGAAAAAAATTCTCTTTTTGTAACTCCTGAAATATGCAACATGGGCCCTTCTAGATATGAAACTAATTAGGGAATTTCAAAGATTTTCATTTCATTGAAGAGGTATCAAGTAATATTACATTGCATGATGGCTTTAACACTTGCAAACAAAAATTTCGTTACTAGCAAGAGATTTAATGTTCAAAAATACTTTGTCAGAAGGCTAATATAATGGAGGTATATATATATATAATGTCTACTACCCTAAGTGGGGAGAATGAATGAATAAGAACTTTATAACTTAAATGTGAATTTTTACAATATAATTGTCAATCTGCATAAGTACTAAGCTGCTGCAACTTGACTATGTGCCAATCTGCAAAAGTACGAAGTTTCTCTTTCTCATCTTATTTCATTTATTAGTTCCTAATGTAATATACCCTTTTAATCCAAAAAAAGGTTTTTTTATAATCTACCTATAAAAGTTTATAAGTATATACAAGTTGTTCCCTGATTTATTTTTATTTTTATTTAGAAGATACAAATTTGCTTGCATTTAAGGCGCTCCCTTTTCTTCTTGATGAAATTTTGGCTTTATTTTATAGAGAATTGGATGTAGGTTTTTCTATACAATTTTTTTTTAAAAGTTAAATTTGGTTTATAATTAAAAAGTATAACTTTTTTGAGCTTTGTATTTTCTGCATTTTTAAAAATTTTACTTAAACATTTAGGTATACCTCAGTCTTGAAAGCTCCGTTGAGTTATTGATGAAGGAGAATGTTTTTCAACCGATTTTATTCAAGTGTTGTGGCACTCTATTTTTAATTCTAATTATAACTCTAATTATAAGTCGATAATACAGCTATACGGTTGGAAGCCATACCGAGTATTAGATTTGCTTTTGAGTTGCTGCCAGTCTCTTATTATATATATAATGTAAATTTTCCTCATGAACTTATTTGTGTATACGGATTTATGGGAAGTTTGCTTGGAATAAACAGCAAAAGAATTATCGTCAATTTCTTTTAAAGAAAGTATTGCCAAAAGTTTAAGATTAAATTAAGCAATATGTTTGTGAAACGAAAAAGTATTTTTAACACTTTCTCGTTTATTTTTGTTATATCGTCAGCCGAGAACCAAGAGGCCATATGTCCATTTTTTGTGTTTCCAAGAAAATCAAGTTTTAAATTTTAATTCGCGAAGACATTCTGCCAGAAAGTTCGACTGATTATTTAAATATTTCCTAAAATTTTTTTGGTGTGGTATATTTATGGAACACACACTCCTGAATATTTATTGATAATGGACAAAAAAAAAAAAACACAAAATGTTGACATACGGTTCTTCTCTGATGGCAATATCTATTTTTCAAAGATTTAATTTCGCTTTTGCATATAAATATTTTAAGATTTATTTTTAATTTAATATTCACTGAATTGAGTTTGAGTTTGAACTGAGTTTATATACTTAAAAGAAATACTATAACAATGCATTGACTCGGAATAAAAATAAAATTTATATTTCAGTTTTTATTATTTTATTGTGATATCATTCCGTTATTTCTTGTAAACCAATATAATATACATGTGTAATTAGTATATGACTCTAAATGACAATGTGTAATTTAGTATATGATATAAACAACATGCTTTTTTTGAATTATTTAATTGCGCCGAATAAATCACGCATAAATATACTTACAAAAAGTCAAAATATTTATAACGTCTAGAAAAACACAGATTAGTGTAAAAATTATAGTGTTGCATTTAGCGCAACACTAATTTTGAGGTTTTTTTACAACAGTTTTGTCGCGCAAAAAGAGCGTATACATATAGCCATTGATTAAATGCAACAATTATGTAGAAAAAATTTCTACAAAAGTGTCGCATTAAAGGCCACAAAGTATGGCTTTCAAGTCTACATTTTATGTAGCCTTGCAAATGCAACATTGAGTGTAGCTTTTAAAGCCACATAGTGTTGGTGTAGCCGGCGTCGACACTCATTGTTGTATTCTACGCGACATACTGCAGCCTACGGCTCAACACTATTTTTAAGCGTGTAGAAACACTGCGGACATTTTCTGTCAACTTTTTTGTATTAATAATGTGTTTTGCCAAGTAAAGAATAAGAAACTAAAACTAAACATATGAGCTAAATTAATACACTGCCTCATAAATCAGAACTGAATGTTTAGTTAAGACCTCCTGTTCTCTGCAAAGTTTTTAAAACAAAAATATTGTTATTTATGATTAAAAAATCTCTGCCAGCCCTTATTTTATGAAGTATTATTTTAACATATAGGTGTTATATGTAGAGATTGTAAAGTGGCATTTGTGTAAAAGTCCTGCAAATTTCTTTGTTACCTATTTATTTTGTCTTTGAAATAATCTTTATTTTCAAAATACTCTAATCTAATATGGAACATTATCTTTTAATATATATATATATATATATATATATATATATATATA